CACCCCAGCCCTCCCTCCCTCCCCTGCACGCATTCGATCGCACATGGATGTGATGACATCGTGTGTGATGGCACGGCTCCTTTGGAGGGACCACAGCTGCGCGAAAAAACACAACCAACCAAACCAATCAGCACCACACATACATGACATGAACAAACACACATACATGAAGACGTCAAGACACGCACACACATCTCGTGAGTGACACGTATGCTCCTTCCTGCCTCCTGTGCTGCGATCCCTCCATCCATCCATCCATTTGCGATCCATCCATCTGTCAGGGCCCTCTGCGCATGTGTAATGGGCTCAAAAATTGCTGACTCGACTGACTGACTCCCTCGCTCCCCTTGCGTGCCGTGGCCCCCCAATGCGTCCGCGTGTGCATGTGCCTGTGCATGTGTGTGCACACAACAGCCAGCCAGCCGTGCTCATAGAAACGTTCATCCATCGTCTGTCGGGTGGGTGGGCGAGGGGGGAGGGTCATCCATGCATTGAAAGCCGTGGGCCTCGCCCACACATACACATACGCATACATGTATATACGTATATACGGATGCACCTAAGTGCGTATGTATGCTACAGATCGAAGAAGTCAGTAGATAGAAAGTAGACCAAAGCCCACAGAGAAGAGAAGCAAGCAAGGGGAGTGCGATCAGACAGACAGGCAGACAGGCAGACAGATAGGCAGACAGATAGGCAGACAGATAGGCAGACAGGCAGACAGTCAGACAGACAGACAGACCCTTGAAAGTGGCGTCAGTCAACGTGCCCTGGTTGGGTCATGTTGTTGTATACAAGCGTCCCCCACCCCCCTCCCCTGTCAGCCCCCCAATCCGGCCACGCGCCAGCCGAACATGGGTCAAAGCAATGCAAAAGTGAGGTAGGCAGGCAGGCAGGGAGGCAGCAAAAGGAAGTGAGAGCGAGAGGGATCACGACACGACTAAAGCGACACACGGTGACGGCAAGAGTGGGCGGGCGACAAGGGGCGACAAGGGCTGGATTGTGTGTGTGAGATGAAGGTGAAAGTGACGGTATATACGGAAAAAGTTGAAAAGGGCCGGCAGGTAAATCGGGGATACATAACAAACACCACCACCAACACGGAGACACACATAGACGCACTCACCGACACATCCACCCACACACACGCACGCACACATCCATTAGGAGACACACACAAGTACTCAACACCTCGCCGGACACACACACACATACACACACACTCACTCTCACGTGCGCACACACATCAGGAAGGAATAAGGGATATAAACGGGCGCCTACACCACTACATTATGTATGATGTAAACATACAAATATCCCCTTTCTCCCTCCCCTCCCCTCCCCCCGTCCCTCCCCCTTTGCAATGGATGCGCAAAAGAGTACAAGACTAGCTACAAGCCTCCACCCCTCCCTCCCTCCCATTCCTCTCTGTCAGTCAGCGAGCGAGCGAGCAGACCTGAAAAAACCAAATACACGCCCGCCACTTACTCAGTGTACATCATGCAGACACATGAGGAGGAAGTCCCTCCGGAAGTCCGTCCGTCCGTCCGTCCGATGATGTGCGTGCATGTATGCAGCCATCCATGTATCAATCCATCTTAATGTATCATCCACCGTCAATTATTCGCCAGGGCCCAGCCTGTTGAGCGAACCCGAAGCGATACACACCACACCACACCACAGAAGCAGGTAAGCGGGAGCGCTTAAAACACATGGGCCGGTTGTCTTGTCACTCTCTCTTATATCGTTGGGCACGCTCCCTGTCGTTTCTCTCTCTTGAAAGCAGCGACACACCCACACACATCCATCCATCCATCCACGCATCCATCCATCCGTCAGATCGATGCTCCCCGGCAATCGAAGAGATCACACCAACCAACCCTTCCCACGGTGCGCATCTGCGCGGAGAGTTCACGAGCCCACCGCAAATACGGTGCACCACGAACAATCGCACACGCAGGTGAGCAGCTTGGGAAGGATCGGGTGATCGACCTCATTCATCCATCCATCCATGCATCCATCTGTCTCCGCACAGACAGTAAGTAGACAGAGAGACAGACGGACAGGCAGCCATAATGTCCTTTCGCACTGATGGGATGCCTTGTCATGGCCTTACGAATCCGCTTTGCAAGGCATGATGTCCATGTGAAGGCGAGTCCCACACAAACATTGTGCCACGGCAAGCGTATCGGAAACAGCCATGACAAGACAAACCACACACACGGGCGCAGCGCAGCCAGCCATGCATTCCGCCTTGCTGACAAAGACTCGTACGCATGGAGGGCTGGGTTGGTTCTCATCTCATCAGCGATAGCTAGGTACGGTCGGCAGATTCATGCATCACGCACACACACAAACACACATGCTCACAGGGACGAGAGAGAGAGAGAGAGAGAGAGAGCCCGCAAAACCTCACACCTAATTGGGGGAGGAGGGCCAGGGCCAGCCATGCAATCCAGATCCGTTGGGATACGGTGGGTGTCAGTCACTGTGTGTCCGTCATTTCATTGTGTGTGCCCCATACACACATACAGTAGCGCTATGTGCTATGCTGTCGCCAAGTCAACACGCGAAAAACCATGAGATCGCAAAGAGAGAACATTCTCTTTCCTTCTTGTTTGTCCCGTCTGTGTGCCCCCCTGCGCGCCCGGCTAAAAGCCTCCGCTTTCGCACAGAAGAGCACTCAGCCCGGGTATGGTGTGCGTCACGCCAAAACCGAAAAACAAATGCAATGCGTCTTGATGTTTGCTTCTTGGCTCCATTCTACGGCTACCTGTCTGTCTGGCGTCTGTCTGTCTGTCTGTATGTATGCCATATGTACGTTGTGACGATGCATTTCGTCACATGGACAGCGATATGAACCAACCGTACAGAGAAAGAGCCCCACAGACAGACAGACAGACAGAGAACCAGACGTAGACAGACGGCCAGACAGTAAGCTGTGGGCAGGTAATGATGAGTGGGTTGCGGGCGACACGCACGCACGCAGGCAATACATTTCCGCGTTCATGGATCCGTCCCATTGTCCCTCGAGTACAGACAGACGGGAAACGGCTCGACACACACCACACCACACACACGAAGGAAGGCAGGCATACACACACACACAGAAAGGCACGAAACAGGACAAAAAACCATCCATTCGCCATCCACCCATCCATCCACACATGCATTTCGTCATCAGTCAGTCACATCAAACCCACCCACCAAACCCAAAAAAGCCCACACCCATCCATCCGTGGTACGGTACGTGTCTGTCGTGTCGGTATCCATCCCCCGCTCCCTCCCTCCCCGCCGTCGCCCAGTCAGCACAGGTGCCTGATCCCCTCCACCTCCCTCACCCCACCCCACATCCCCCACTCGTCCCCCTTCTTGTCGTCGATGGACACAGACGGGCTGTGCAGCGACGCACACGTGCTCATGGACATGCACGAGGCCGTGCTCATCGACCGCAGGGGCTCGTGGCAGCTGGTCGCCAGGCGCGAGAAGTGGTCGGTGTCCTCATCCTTGCCAGTGCTGCCGGCGTCATAGTTCTTGTCGGGGACGGCCATGACCGTCTCTGGGAGTGTGTCTGTGCGCATGAGCGGGAGGGGGGATGGCAGGGGGGCGGGACTGCCGATGGCTGTCGTGGTGGTGTTGAGGGTGAGGTGCGTCAGAGTGGTGGACCGGCGTTTGAGAATAGACGACTGTGAGGGGTGACCGAGCCTGCACACAAGAACAGCAGCACAAAGGATCTCTCTCTCTCCCTCTCTCCCTCCTGAGTGTGCGTGCGTCTCCGCGTGACGTGTCTATGTCATACTTAGGCATGTCGTCGCAGCTTCGCCATCGCACAGGCTGCACCACAGACACCAACACACGACCAAAACACATTCTACAGACGGCCGCCACCCCTCCTTCCCCACCCCACAATGCGTGTGTGGCTTACAGTGAGTGCGGAGGACGCTTCCGTGAGCAGTCTCAGCTGCGGGTCACCACACGGGCTCCCATCAGCGCAGTCCCACGGGCTTGTGTCGGTCGGGCCGTTACACACAGACAGCATGATTCCTGACCCTGTTTCTCGCTGGATCTCCTTCACAGAGCTGGAGGGCGCTTCCCAGAGGCGCTGAAAGGAGGGGGGAGCGGCCGGAAAAGTCGACAGAGGGAGGGGAGGGAGAGGCGGTGAGATGAACGGTTGGGACTTGGAGCGCGGCGGTGGCCTGGGGAGTGTTGGTTGCTCACGCACGCAGGGCTGTCCTGCTGCTGTTCTCCGGGAGAGCACAGAAAATGCTTCGACTCGAGAATGCCGGAAATAGTGTGAGTGCTTATTATTCAGCCGCCGCGGAGCGTCATGGGAAGGAAACCGCTGTAAGACATAGTGCAGCGGCATACAAATGGCGAGGCCGACCTCCCTGCTGCTCTTTGTTGCTTTCACTGCCTCGGCTCGTGCGCAAGAAGGCGGTACGTATGGAACGACCCAGAACGGAGCTTGCCTCCCTTGCTTGAGTTGGTTGGTGTGCTGCTGCCATGTGTGTCATGTGTGTGTGATCTGCAGCCCTGTGTCCTGGTGCGAGTGAGGCGGCCTCACAGGCGCCCCTCGAGTCAGGCAGATATGGGGTCAAAGACGGACCGAGCGACGCGGGCGGGTTAGTGAGCCACCTCTTGGCTGCCAATTCACTGAGCCGTGCCATCTGCCATATCCACTGAGGTCGTCTTTGCGTGTGGTCCATGTTTTTGGTATGTTGTGCAGCCACTGTCTGGCGCTTGGTGCGGTGAACAGCCGTGAGGATGACGGGAGCGCCGGTATGCTCTTCAGCTGCAACACGGAGAAAGGGGTGGTGTTCGACTACACCGCCCCTGATGGTAAGCACGCACCCACACACATGGCGCCGACCACTGACTGATGCACTGATCCACATATCCATCCGTCCACCTGTCTCTTTCTCGTGCAGAGTCTGCCCTCTCCTCCCGAGGCCGCATCACCGGCGAGGTTGAGCTCAAGTCGTCTCCCGCCGACCAGGACGAGTGCGTAGGATGCCTCTTCAGAGTGGCATTCGAGTACGACAGCATCAGCGGGATCGCTGATGGTGATGAAGGGACCACCAGCCGCGGAAAGGGCTCCCTCACCGTCAAGCGCCGGCCGCCCTACTGCGAACTCCCCTCCATTATCGAATTCGGCTCTCTGGTACATTCGCCACATACAACAACAGTACAGCCTCTCACAACGGCACGCGTTGCTGTCATTTCTTGCCAATTTGTCAGGGTGCCGCAGCTCCCTCATCGCGAGGGGCGTTTGAGTGGCTTCCTGTGGACGAGAGCGGGGACGATGCGTGGGCGGGCGCTCAGCTGCACGGCAAGGGGCGGCTGGCGCTCTTTGGTGGCCCCGCCGAAGCACGCGGCGAGGCGGCAGCAGCAAAGGAGGGCAAGGTTGGCCAGCGGTGGAGCTTCGTGGTCGGGCAGGCCTGCCCCGGTATGCACGCGCGCATAAGCATCCATGTGTGTGTGTCAACGAAGTGCGGGGCATGGGATACACATGTGCGTGGCGTGCCCTCTGTCTGTCGGCAGGTGCGATTGGTGACCTGGTGTATGTGGACAGCAATGCCAATGGAGAGCAGGACAATGGCGAGCCGGGACTGCCGGGCCTCGTCGTGCAGCTCGCAGAGGAACCCGCCGGCCGCATCGTCCAAACACTCGAAACAGACGGTAGGTACCCGAAGCTGTCCCGCCAGACATCGCCCTCTTCCACATGGCATGGAATTGTCTCTTCTCTGCCATGTCCTGTCCGTCCAGAGAATGGCCACTATGGTTTCGAGAATCTGTCTCCCGGCTCGTATCGCGTCCGTTTCCTCCTGCCGCCATCCCTCACGCTCACATCGCTGTCCGACGGGGCGGAAGCTGATGGGACGTCGGTGCATGAGTCGACGCACTTCGCCGAGAGCAGCTCGGTCATCGTGCTTAGGAAGGGCGAGAGGAACATGGGCGTGCGTGCCGGTGTGACCACCAAGAATCTGTCCAACCACCGGGTCAAGGCAATGGCGTCGGAGAATGCCCTGTCTGGTACGCACACACACACAGGCGCAGAAAGGGGAAAGAGAATTGGTGGATATGTGTGTTGCCATTCCTTCCCTTCGTGCAGCTGACGCGCTTGCCGTGAGTGCGGCTGGGCTGGAGGGAGCGGACACAGGTCAGACAGACAGAGCCATCCACACACACAGAGCCATCCCTTGATTCATGTTGCAGCCACCATCAGCGGGCGAGTCTTCGACGATGACGACCACAATGGCCTCTTCGACCAGGACGAAAGCGGCGTCGAGAAGGTGCCCGTCGACCTCGTTGACGCAGAAGGGACCGTCGTGCACTCGACAAAGACCGACAGCAACGGACGATACACCTTCAAGCCGGACGCCGGCACCTACAGCGTCCGTGTCGACGTGCCGGAGGGCTATGACGGCTTCACTTGGCAGCTGGTGGAGGGAAAGGGGAGGAAGCGCAAGTCGCGCGCCGACGCTGACGGGGTCACCGGCAAGATCGACGTCAAAAATGGGGAGAAGCAGGACAACGTGGATATCGGTGTGGTCAAGGAAGTGACGGCCGCCTTCACGAGCAAGATATACGTGGACATGGACAGGGACAGCCGCAAGGACACCAACGAGACCTCCCTCCCTGGGGTCGAGGCGTCGCTCATCCATGACGGCAAGGTCGTGCAGAAGACCAAGAGCAACGACTGCTGCGGCGTGTACGGCTTCAACAACCTGCTTGCCGGCCGCTACACGGTCGAGCTGATGCTGCCAAGGGAGATGGTGGGGTTCAGCTTCCCCAGCAACATCTCCGGTGCGGCAGAGATGCGGCAGTCAGAAGTATATGAGGTGCAGAACAACCAGACCTTGTTCGATTCCATCTGGTTCGACCACAACAGGAACGGCCGGCACGACCAGGACGAGTGGGGCGTGGCGGGGGTGGAGGTGCGGCTGATGAGGGGCGGCAAGCTGGTTGGCAAGACGATCACCGATCGGGAGGGATTCTTCAGCTTTGAGGGGCTCGCGGACGGCAAGTACATGGCTGAGTTCTCGCCGCACGAGGGCGGGCCGCATGTGGTGAAGTGGAAGCCGATAGCGAGGATGCAGGTGGACCTTGACAAGGGGGAGGAGAGGATGCATGAGCCCGTGGGGGTGGTCGTGTACACTGGTGACATACACACACACACACACACACAGACACAGAGAGAGAGGGACAGCCAGTGAGGCGGACAACGGTCGACATGTGTCGCGTATTACGTTGCGCATGCAGGCACCATTGGCGACACGGTATATATGGACGTTGACGGCGACGGCGAGCAGGGCCCCAACGAGTACCCCCTCCCCAACATCACCGTCGAGCTCAAAGACGCCCTCGGACACACTGTCAACACCACACAGTCCGACAAGGACGGCAAGTACAAGTTCGACTACGTCCCCCCCGGCACCTACCAAGTCGACTTCATCGACACCCCCGTCAAGCTTTCCCTCGACAGAGCCGAGCGCGGCACATACGAGACCATCAATGTCACCGGTCCGGCGACTAGAGAGGTGGAAGTGCTGTCGGGGGCTGACCTCGTTAACGTGGATGGCGGGATGGTGGTGGCCAACACACGGGGGGCCACCCAGCGGATCTCGGACAGGGTGTGGGAAGACCGCAACGGCAACGGCATCCAGGATGAGGACGACCCGCCTGTGCAGGGGGTGGAGGTGCGGCTCTATGAGGTGAGGGACGGCGACCAGCTGCGGCTCATCAGCACCGACGTGACCGACAAGGGCGGCAACTACAGCTTCATCCACCAGCCGCCCGGCTCGTTCGTGCTCGAGTTCGTCAAGCCTCCTGAGTACTTGAATTTCACACGCCGATATGCCGGCAACAACACACACAACGACAGCAACGTCGACCCAGCTGATGGGAAGAACTACGGCAAATCGGTAAGAACATCACGCTCACGCACCGGTCGTTGCAAGACATCCGTGGTGTGTCACTCACTCAGAGCGTCTTCACCCTTTTCGCTGGTGAAAGGAACCCAAGCATCGACGCGGGCCTCATCAAAGGGGGTGAGAACAGACAGACCCACATAGCAGACCTGCGCACCCCACACACCCACCATCTGTGTGTGTCCTTCAGCCTCCGTGGTGAGTGAGGTCTTCATCGACAAGGACAGCGATGGCGAGCGCACCAGGAAGGAGAAGCAGCTGTCGGGCATACAGGCCACCATCCTGCGCGACATGGCCCCCATCCGGCTCACCAAAACCGACAAGAATGGCAAGTTCGCCTTCACAGATCTGGAGCCGGGCACCTACGAGGTCGAGCTGAAGCTACCCAAAGGGCTGACCACAGCGTCCTTTGTCGACAAGGGTGGTGTCGCATCGGCTGCAAAGGCGCTGCAGCGGACCAGCTCGTACGTGTTCGCGGCAGATGAGGCGGTGGGTGGGGAGCGGTCTGTGGTCGAGAGCGTCTTCGTCGATTCCAACGGGAATGGTGTCCGTGACAGGGTGACCAATGACACACACGGGAAGACACAGATCGGCACGTCACACACGTGTGTATGTGGCCTTTTAGGCCGAGCCCGGCATCCCCGATGTGCCCGTGTCTCTGCTGAAGGACGGCCAGTTCCTCAAGCGCACCGTCACCGATATAGACGGCTTCTTCGGCTTTGAGGGCCTGATGCCAGGCGCCTACCAGGCAGAGTTCGAGCTCGACTCGGCCTCCATGAAGGACGTTGTGCAGTGGAACCCTATCACAAGGTTCCGGGTGCTGGTCTTGGGAGGCGAGAGGGTGGAGCTGCTCGTCGCCGTTCGGCACCCAAAGGCCGCCGAGCATGAAGAAACGGAGGTATCCGACACAGACTACGTCATGGCGCCCGAGCTGACGAGACAAGGAGCCGAGGCGCAGGCTGGTCACGAGCAGGACGCAGAAGTGACCACCGCGCCGCCAGCTGCCGAGGAGACCCCCAACACTGAGGCGACGATGCTCTCGAGTGAAGGCGGGACCTACAGCCACAGTTATCACCCACACTGGAGGGTCCACCCGAGCCAGCAACAGCGCCCAGCAGCAGAGGCAGCCGAAGCTCAATCGCTGGCAAGTGAAGGCGTGACCCCTCCCCTGACCGATGACACCGCAGCTGCCGATGGCATCACCACGCCTCCACCATTACTGTCCGACGACGAGTCCGACCTCATCGAGATCCAGGAGGAAAGGGGGCTTGCCAGCAGGGCTGTACCAGAGCAGTCCCCTGACTCTCCGGTGACGGGTGCAGAAGATCCAGGCGAGTGGCGACATCTGCTGTCCGACTTGATGGCTGTCGAGATGGGGGCTGTGAGCGACGCAAGACGGATGAGACAGCGGCAGAGGCGGCGCTATGGGGAAGCGCCGACCTCAAGACAGCTGAGGGGGGCGGTGGGCACATAGGCAGGCAGGTGTGTGGCCGATCGGGAGAGAGGGTGTGTACAAACCTATCTAAACCTACACGTACGTACGGCGGTGGATGGATGGATGGCCATTTACTCGTATACAGTAGGGAGGGAGGGCGTGGTGTGGTGTGGTGTCGGTCTTTGTGTATGGTCACCTTCCTTGACACCTGGCCGGTAGGTAGATAATTTGGTCCTTTTGGTCGGATTTTTCGCTCTGTGTGTCTGTCTCTCTGTGTCTGTGTGTGTATGTGTGTCTAACGGGAGGACCTCACGCACGCCACCTGCCGGTGTGTACTTTATTGTACATATGTAAACAATTAGCGGCGTGAATGCTGTGCTCTGCTGTGCATGGGTAGGACATTTGTCTCCGTGACAACAGACGCGATGGAATTAATAGTACATTGATCGTCACTTTATTTCGGGCTCCACCCGTCCCATCTCGCACAAGCTCCTGGTGCATCAATCAGAGAAAACGGCGCAGCCATGACCTCCGCTGGTTTTGCCCTCGCAATGGCGACCCTCTGCGTCGTATTTGTTAGCACGAGTCGTCCGGCGCTGAGAGCCCGCGTCGACAACGTCCGACAGGCATCTTCCGCTGGCGTAACGTCGGTCGTGACACAAGAGGATACCAAAGGGGCGGAGGAATCAGCTGCAAAAGCGCCACAGCGCCCCTGCACACCAGGTCAGGTCATCCGAAGAAGGAAGGCCACTAGCTACTCGCCGACATCTTCGCGCCTGCTTGTCTCTTCTGTGCAGGCAGTGGTTCGTGTGAGGCCGTCCCAGACAAGAGAGCAGCGTCTCCACTGCTCTCCCTCTTCAAGAGGCCGCCAGCTGAAACGACAGCCACCAAGGCCGGCGCGAAGGTCAACGAGGCCGCCAAGTGCGTTGCGGACGGCCAGAGGTGCCAGGGCGACCTTCCCTGCTGCAGCGGCACGTGTGTGGGGGGATTCGGCAAGTACAGCCTGCAACGCGTCTGTGCATCGAGCAGTAGAGCAGCAAAGCAGCCCCCAGCGAATGCACAAACGCCGAAAAACGGAGAGATCAAGGGCGAGACCCGGGTCATCAGCCCTATCGGCAGTCGACGCAAGTACAACTACACGGCCAAGAGAGAAGAGGCGACCGTGCAACGCGCCAGTCGGCTGACCTGTCTCGCTAACGGTGACAGCTGTGTGGCTGCAGGGCACTGCTGCAGCAGCCACTGCGGCAGCAAGAGCAAGACATGCGCTAATGACCCGGCCAGAGATGGGGGCTGGAATGAGATACTCATCCAGTGATTTCTCTGTGGTCGGCCGGAGATGGACGTGTCTTTCAATGGATGCGTGGTGTTGTCAATTCGATGGGGCGGGGGTGCGTTGAAGCGGTCGGTCCCTTCCAGTTGGGGGCACTGTTTTGATGTTGTAATCCATGCCGTCGCGTGTGTGTATTTGATGATGGGAAGGGCGCTGGTATCTGCGTTGGGAGGGGATGTGTGTGTGTCCCTGGTGAAGCTACGTAAGGCTGTGGTCTCTTTCATCTGAGTGTGTGGATCCAGGTCAATGCTTTTCTTGCTACTGAGACAGTAAGACAATTGTTCATGAGACAATTCAGCGGGCGTGTGCGGTGGGTGCAGGCAGCTGACAAAGGCAGACGACGGTGCTATCTTCCTTGGTACAGAACGACAGCACTGTTGGCTTCCTTCACCAGATGTAGACACGCACCGCGCACACCCGCACCTGCATACTGAAGGTCATCGTCACACACACAAGAACAACGTCACCGAACCCTGGCTTTAGCTACGTACACTGACTGGATCATGCCTCCATCAAATCGACACACGCTGTACACACACCAGTCACCCTTAATCGCATCCCTTCGTCCATCACTTGACCGCCCTGTAAGTGCCTGCACACACCACACACACCACAACCAACACACACACCACAGAAAGCATCAGTAGGGAGTGCATGGCTCACGGGTCGTTCCTCTGTCTGTCTGTCTCTCGTACCCAGGACGAAGAAAGCCGTCGATGCAGCCAAGTAGAGCCGCCGATCTCCACTGCCTTTGCGAGCCAAGGCGAATAATAAGGCCGTGTAGCCCGATATGCCCCAGAAGAGTGAGGTGCCGATCAGCCTGCATTGCCAGCAGGCCCTGTCCTGCTCTCGCGCGGCGTGCGGTGACTCCGACCGCCACGGCGTGAACAGCGGGGGCGCCTTGCGGCACTGGGGGAGGACGATAGAGCTGAATGATGAACCGCTGCACGATGCTGCTGCTGACGCGGGAGCATCTGTGGCAGCCTCCGATGGGTTCTGATGCGTTGATGAAGGTTGAGCGTTGGATGAGGCGAGATCGGAGAGAAAGGCAGTTGGATAAGAGAGAGGGCTGACGGATGGATGGATGTCCATCATTGGTCTGACCTCCCTCCAGGCAGCAGCGGTTTCCAGGGCTAAGCTCGCTTATGAGCTTGCAGATCTTTTCGGAGCAAAAACGACGTTTTCGGCAGCTGACCACGCTGAGGACCGTCACAGTCGTCAGTAGAGAAGCCCGATCTACCAAAAAACTGACAAAATGAGTGAGATGAACAGGCGAAATGAATGACCCTTTTGGCCACGTGTGGCTGTCCGCATCAGTGTTTGGCGTGAATGCTGTTGTTGGAGCCGTCCAGCAAGTGATCGGCTTCATTGTGCGCGTCATCCAGATGGCGCTCTTCTTCATCTCACTCTTCCTCGGTGTGCCACACACACACAGACTCCAAGAAGCACCGACACTCCCTGTGTGTGTTGCAGGTGCGGTGTGGTACTTACAGGAGAGCATTCTTTTCCACCCTGAATGTGCGCCAACACAACAAGAGCACTTATTAAGCGAAGGCCACGTCTGCGGCATGTGTGTGCGGTGTGTGTGTGTGTGTCGTGTCAGTGCCCAAAGGCATGAAGACGCCCAGTATGAACCCTCCCGGTTATAGGCGGCCCGACGAGGCGGCTGACCTTGGACCGCCCATAGCCAACATGCCCTATGACGACGTCTACACGCGGACCTCCGACGGCGTCCGCATCAACATGTATGTCAGCCACTCACATAGAGGTGCACAGGCGGGGTCGTGGCAGGGGTAGATGATACTTCGGTTCTTCGCTGCTGCTGCTATGTGTGTTTGTGCAGGTGGTTGATTCGTCAGCGGTATGGGGACTGGAAGACGCGGCCGACCATCATCTTCTTTCAGGGCAATGCTGGAAGTGAGCACACACGCACGTGCACTGTGCGGATGGGGATGCATCCATCGGTGTGCATCGTGTGTTGTGTGTTGTGTGTTGTGTGCGTGTGTGTGTTAGACATGGGTCTGCGGATGCCCAACTTCTGGCGGATGTACGATTACCTTCGCTGCAACCTCCTCACCCTCTCATACCGAGGGTCGCCAACCAACCAACCAACCATACCCTCTCACAGAGGCGTCCATGCCCTCTCTCTCTGTGTGTGTGTTGTGGTTCCTCCAGCTACGGGCACAGTGAGGGCCACCCGACAGAAGTGGGCGTCTATCGGGACGGAGAGGTCAGCCGGAGGCAGACACGAGAGGCAAATGGCAATTTTGTGCATGCCTGGCCCCCGGGGTATCTGCAGGCCGCGTTGCAGTGGCTGCTGGACGCATCGGACGTCGACAAGACCAAAATCTTCCTCTTTGGAAGGTGAGAACGGACGCCGTCGATGACTGCCAATCACAGACATTTGTGGCTGCGTGGCTGTCAGGTCTCTTGGCGGGGCGATAGCTCTCGACTTGGCAATGAAATACCCACAACACGTAGGCCGGCCATGCCGCATGACACACACGGAAGCCGCCCCTAGAATGAGTGAGTCGTGCTGTTGTGTTTTGTGTGGATGCCATCCGCCATCAGGTTCGCGGTGTCGTGGTGGAGAACACCTTCACAAGTCTGTCAGACATGGTTGAGGTGCTCTTCCCGTTCCTGCTGCCGCTCAAGTGGCTCGTCACCAAACTACAAAGGTCAGTCCATGACACATGCACATAATAACAGGAAGGATGGGCACGTGTGTGATGTGTGTGTGTAGGCTGCACATGGACACCATCCACCGCGTGCCACATGTGGTCGCTCCGACGCTCTTCATCGCCGGACAGGCGGTGGGCGCTTACACACACACACGCACACACGCTCGAACACTCGAACACACGTTGGTGTTCGCTCCATCCGTTCAGGACATGCTGGTCCCGCCTGCTCACATGGAGCGGCTGTACGCGGCCAGTGGGTCTCGGCACAAGAAGATCTGCCGCATCGCCAACGGCACACACAACGAGACCTGGACAGACCCACACGAGTACTTCCAGGTCAGCAATCCACCCACCTCACCTCACCCCTGCCATCTATCCATCCACCCATCTCTGTCCATGGCTACAGGCTTTTCGCGCCTTCATTCACGAGGCCGAGGCCATCCCGCTGCCCGAGGCTCCTCCCCCAAAGGCCCCCGCCACGCCCCTGAATGGCGGCAAGGGTGACGACAGGGCCGCCACGGACGTGTCGACCAGTGCGTCGTCGAGATGCACGGCAGCCGACGACAGCAACCACAATAACAGCCACATGAACATGCCTATGCACAGCGGGGGGGCGGTGGTGGTTGGCGAGATGAATGGGCCGACGGGACATGACAAGAACAAAGTTGTGTGAAGAGGGGCAGGGGGATGCTGCCGTCTGTGTATGGGTGCGTGTGTGATGAGTGTGCGTGGCTGTAAAGCTAATTGAGAGGGAGAGAGGGAGGGAGGGGAGTGGCAGGGAGTGTGTCTGAGTGCTTGTTTGTAACTGAGTGTGGGAGGTGGGGCGATGTGTTGTGCAGCTCTCTCTATAGTATAGCGTGTATTTGTTATGTCAATGACTTTGCCGCTACGTCCATCCAAGAGGCTATAGAAACGACGAACTGATCGAGCACCAGTGATGAGTGAATTATTGAAGGGTCTGAACCAGCCAAGTGTCGAGACACGAGCAGCAAACACTCCCGAGACACGTGTCTCCACACACAGAATGAGCGCCGCACAGCTTGGTCACTTCCCACGAATATAAAATGTAAGCAGCGATTTGACCGCGTCGCCGGTGCCTCAACTCTGGCCTTCAGGGCGGCCTGCGGCCGCTAAGGGTGCTGGTGTGTCGGGCGACGCGGGTGGTGTGGGTCAATGGGCGCCCTGGCGCGATGCGGCAGTGGATGGCAAAGACGCAGCCGCTGCTGGGCTGCTGCCTTTCCTGTGAACGTCCATGAGGAAGGCCGCCAAACTACTCAGCTGCTGCACCTGCTCGGCCAGGCTGCACCTATCCCAGGGGAAAAGCCGAGTCGCCGCCTCGCTAATCTTCTCCAGCCGCCGGAGCGCCCCCTCTACCCACTCCAGCCCCCTCTCCCCTCTGAGCTCCCACAGCCCCTCCTTGCCGCCAATGGGGTGGCCGTCGCTATCCATTAGATGCCGCCAATTGCCTCCCCACCAGTAGCTGAGGAAAGTCTGCGTCACATTTCTGTGCTGGTCGTAGGCCTTCTTGGCCTTCTCGTACGCGACCCTCTGCTGCTGATAGGCGGCCTTGGCATCCTCGGCGGCGTCCTGGGGCGGCTCCTTCGGCGGCTGCGGCTCCACTGGCCAGTTGCCTTTGTCCCTCTCGAGCTTCTCGATGAACAGCTCGCTGCGCAGGGCATTGTGCAGGCTGCAGCCGAGGTTGAATGACGGCGTGCTGCAGCCGCACTCCCATCTTCGTCCCCTTGCCCACCAGCTGGTGATGCTCCCGCAGCGCCTTCTGTCTGTCCCAGATGTCGTCCCACCCGACCGGCCCCAGCTCGAGGATCTCGCCGCCCCACTTGGCGAGGTCCTCCTGTGTGCCGTCAAAGGCGAGCTGCTCCGTATTGAAGAGCAGCTGCTCCGGCGCAGCGTGGTAGCACGTGTATGTGGGCAGCTGCTTCTCCTCCCTCTGGGCGGCCTTGCGGACGGGGATGAGTGCGGCGTGGGGGCAGGGAGGGGTAGGGACGGTGCCGTCGGCGGCGTGCATGCAGGGGCCGGGGGGCTTCACGACGCCCGTGTTAGCGAGGTCAATGAGGTATGTGTCGGGCTGCTCCTGCGCGTCGAGGGTGAACCAGTTGACGTAGATGTTGTTGGCGCAGTGGTCAGGGCACACCAGGCCGTCCTCCTCGAGGGCTATCCGCAGGGTCTCGGCCGCCCATTGGAACGCTCGCACGAGGTCTATGACCTGGAGGATGGTGGCCCTGGGGTTCCATCGGTGTGTGCGGGCGATGGCGGCCATGTTGTGCTTCATATCCCAAATCAACTCCCTCAGGCTGACGTAGTCGGGTGGCTGCGTGGGGTCTGACAGCGTCGAGACAAGACAAAGAAAGACGCCGTGAATGAGTACATTGATGGAGTGCAGCCCCCCTTCTTTTGATGCTCACCGTTGAGTGGCTGCATCTCTATGTACAGGCAGGGCTTCGGGGCTGTGTCAGCCGACTCGCGATACATGGCGCCGTCTTGGAGGCTGGCATCCGTATAGCCGCAGAAACGGCTTCAGCTCCTTCCCCTCCCCCTACCTCTTGGCCTGCACCATGGCCATGCGCTTCCTCTCCACCTCCATCTCCCTCAAGGCAGTCCGCCATATAGGGCTGTCGTTGTCGAGAACCGCAATCTTGAAGGCCCGCCATTCCCCATTCACCACGCCTGCCCTGACGATGGCACGGGAGCCCTCGCCGAGCCGGTGGGACAGCTCCACCTGTTGGCCGTCGTGTGTGGTGAGGATGGGGTGGGTGGCCATCGTGGTGCTGCTCGCTGATGCACTACTAATGGCCATGGACTAATGGCGTGGGAAGCCAGGGTACTGCTGCGCTCCGCTTCACGCCGACGGGTGGTACTTTGCAGTTGCTGCTGTTGCTGCGTTGCTTCTGCTGTTGTTGTCGCTGCTGTTTGCTGACAGTGAGCTCCGTTGCGCCTTCTTCTCCTCGATCGCAATTCTGCAAGCGGCCTCTCTACAGCCATGTGCGTGGAGGGGTGCGAAAGTTTTCCACAAAATATAAAATGCAAGCAGCGATCGAATCATCTGAGCAACACAAGAGGGAGGCGACGGGTGTCGCCTTGCCTCTGTAGGTGTGTCGTGTGTGTGTCCTGAAGGCCTGCTCACGTGACGCTCCTGGACCGGCAGGGGGCGAGCTACCTGCATATATAGTATGGATGGGTAACGAATGAATGCGTGTCTCTCTCTGTCTCTGTCTCTGTCTCTCTGTGTCTGCGCCCATCCGTCCCTTTATCACTTACAGCTGGTCGATAGCGTCGAGCTCGGCGATGATGGCATCGTACACGTCGTCGCCGAGGCGCCCGTATCCGAGGTTGCTGATGTAGCCATGCAGCAGATTCAGGCGATCCCGCACCTGGTTGCGAATCGGGCCTGATGGATGGATCAGAGAAATCAATCAGCCGACACACATCCATACATACGTACATGGTCACACTGGTTGGCCGATGGATTATCGATCAGATAATGTGGTCCTTCTTTATCGCTCTCTCTGCCTTGCCTAGAGACGCACCGGGGGGGTTGCGCGCTTTCTCGTGTAGGAACTGCTGGAGGTTCTGAGAGCGGCGGGCGATCAGCGTCTCGCAGGCGGCGGCGAACTCCGGGCTGTCGGCATCCACGAAGTTGTCCCACATGTCCTGGATGTCGGCGGCGGCCTCGTTGACGCCGTCAATGTATCGGCAGTCGGGAGTGTCGACCAGGCAGCTCGTCATTGAGTAGAAGGCCATTGTCAAATCATCCCTACGTACGCACAAGGACAACATACGCACAGACAGACAGACAGACATGCTCACACGTATTCTGTTTGTGCAGGATGGTTTGTGGTGTGTGTACCGTTCGTACCTCGCGCTGGTCGGCAGAAGCGGATAAGTAAGAGGTCGTCCAATATAAAAAGCAGGCAGCGATCCCTGAACCAACGAAGCGATCCCTGAGCCCTGATGCCCGCAAATGCATCACTACTACCATCCTCCTGCTGCTCCTCCTCCTCATGATGACCACCACGCCGTCGCGTTCTGGAGGAAGGCCGGCTGCCCCCCTCCATTCTGCGTGTCCTCAGCGTCGAACCACAGCTGGTGCTCCACTGCCTCGAGCGAGCAGAACCGAAGCCGACCCACAAAAGCGATGAAGGAATTCGATAGAGCAGCCAGGCCGTGGTCGATCGCCTCGCCATTGTGGGCCTCTGGCGGTTGGGTTCCAGCTGTGGGTGAGGGGGAGGTGCCATACATGACGTCCCGTCAGCAGCGGCCGGAGGAGCCCTCCTTGCCGTCGCCCGACTGATGGTTCCTCTTCCAGCCGAACCCGAAATCACATCTACACACGCACATACACACAGAGAGAGAGACGCCTGTTTGTCGTTCTGTCTTTCCTTCTTCCCCAATCCAAGTGCGTACCTTCCTGAGCATGTAAAGCACTACTAAGCGGGCTAACTTGACTGCCGTCCACCCACTTCAACGCGCACACCATCCATCCATCCATCCATGCATCCATCCATCCATGCATGCATCCATCCATCCATCCATGCATCCATCCATCCATGCATCCATCCATCCATCCATGCATCCATCCATCCATGCATCCATCCATGCATCCGTCCATCCATGCATGCATCCGTCCATCCATGCATGCATCCATCCATCCACGCTTAGGAGGAAAAACACAGACCCCCATTTCGCACCAACACGGGCCCGTACGTATGAAAGACAGACACTAATGCACCCATCCATGCCTCACCCTCGCCAATACTCGTCCCGCTTCGGCTGCACATGACGAGCCACCACACCGGCCTCCCCCGAGCCACCACACACCCATCCTCGCCCTTGCCGTTGACTTCCCGCTCCCGCAGCCATGACAAAAAATACGACACAGCATCAGAAACACGCATGCACTCTCCACACACATGCATGTCTGTCTGTCTGTCTGTCTGTCTGTCTCTACGTGCGGCGGGCGGGTTGGCCCCCCATCCCCAAACGACTCGCTACCCACTGCCCTGCGGCAGCAGCCGTCTCGCTCACGTCAGTGCAGAGAGCCCACCACCTCATCCTGAGGTCCTGGCTGGCCGCCCGGACCTCCCAGAGGTTCGGCCCCTCGTCACTGGGCTGCCACATCACCCAATCGTTGGCCAACAGATTCCACTTCCACCCCCCCCCATGAGCCCGTCGCATGGCCCGTCGTAGCGGATGATCTTGGCATAGTATGGCACGTAGGGGAGGTGGTGGGCAGGAATGCCGCTTGCTCGCGGCAGAGAGTGTGGCGCCTTTCTGGCCTTCTGTGCCGCCTTGATATCGTTCAGCAGGACGGCCTTTCGCCTCGGTGGTGGTGCTGGGGGATGGTGGTCGTCCTGGTGGTCATGGCGGTGGTGCGTCGGTGCTGCCGGAGCGGCCATCTTCTGCTGGTATGCGATCGGCGTGGCCGCTACAGGTGCTGGCGATGTGTCGGGCGACGCGGGCGGTGGGGGGCATTGTGCGCCCTGGGGCGATGCGGCTGTGGATGGACAATGCTGTACAACGACGAAATCTGTCTGTTTTCCTTTTTTCGTCATCGAAGTAAAGGATCGCGCTTCTGAAAAGCAGCAGACAAGGCCACTGACGTGGGTAGTCTGGTCTGTGCAGACCAGACTCAGTGAGGCGCTTCCCAACCTTCCAGAAATGTGTCGAGAAAATGAGACGGGGATGAAGAGAAATCAGCATTTCATCTGCAAACACAGACATGCCAAGGGGAGGCATATGAGCACACCCATGGCAACGAAATGCGCCATGCACTCATCCCTACACACTACGCAGACACACATCATCACCACAGACAACAGACATAGCACACGGCGCCACACACACACGTACTCACCTGATGGAGGCGATTTGTGCGAGAAGAAGGTGCGTGCGCACTCTGCAGGGCACCAGACAGTTGCCAGCCGCTCCGCATAAGGCAGGGCATCACCAGGCGAGGCCTCGTCCCGGGGCACGGCGGTGGAGGAAAAAAGTAGCGGATGACATCTGGGCGAGTTGGGAGGGATAGAGGGAGATGAGGCGGACAATACAAGCCTAAAACCAGCCCAGAAGAGAAAGAAATGAAGGATCTGTGGCCGAAAGAAGGCTGGAAAGCCGAACGCGGACGAAAAATGTGAAAAAACTTATGCGAGCTCGTAAATCAGGGTTTGCGGGGTTTGTGTCGTCTCATCGCGGAAATCTCGACGCGCACTTCTGCAGAGCGGGAGGCCATAGAAGGCATAAAAGCAATGGACACAGGTGAGAAGAAGGAACCCAAATGACATCTCCCCTGTGGCTCAATGTGTGCTGCTTTCGTTGATCCATCCAGGTGCGTCGAGCGCGTTGATCCATCCAGGTGCGTCGAGCGGCATTGGTCGGGCCATGGCAACACAGCTGGCCAAGGCGGGAGCGCGGCTGATCATCTCAGGCCGCAATGTCAGCGCCCTGAACGAGCTGCGGAGCTGCTGACCCTGCAGCCGCATGGGGCAGGACAGGAGGTCATCCTGACCGGCGAGACCATCGACGAGGCCGCCAACGCCAACCCCACCCACGACCTCTCGCCCTCTGGGGCAGAGCAGCCGTCAGGGGCCGCCAGCCTGGGGTTCGGCACATCGACATAGTGAATCCGCTGCGTGGGCACAAGAGGGATTGACAAGGATGGGCAGGGGGAGGGAGGGGGATGAGTGGGTTGGTGGTGTTTTTGAGTCAGGTTAAGTGTACAGACAGACAGATACACAGACAGAGGATCCTTGTGGTTTTTTCTCCCTTTTTCTCCCTCCCTCCCTGGCTGGCTTTTTCATCCGTCCACAGCCCACCAGATGCTCTCTCTCTACACTGTGTGCTGCACGTACCCATGTAATTCATCTCATCTCGACTTATCAGGACGGCATCATGGTGTTCCGTGCCAATTCTTGCGTCGCGTCTTGGCTGTGGTGTGATGGTACTTGGGTGCCATACCAATACACGCATACGTTGTGCAGACAAAGGAGGGAGGGAGGAAGTGCAGTCACTGTGTGGATGGTCGGATGGACAGATGGGTGGCCTGACTGTGTGTGAGACGCATACTCACTAACCTAGATATCATCGAAGACATGGTATCTATCAGCATCGATGGAACCGCTATGTGTGCAGGAGATACTCATTGGAAGCGGCACGGCACAGAGGCGTGGGCAAACCCACGGAAATGAAACACACACACACACACACACACACACACAAGCAGCTGTCCACTGACCTGACGTACACACACGGCACAGACGCACGCATACGGGACAGACACAGAGAGGGGGTGGGGTGAGTGTGTGCGGGGTGGATGGCACAAGTAAGAGTATTGTATGTGTGATCGTGTAAGCAAGTGCCACACATCAGTCGACGATGCACGCACACACACACACACGTGTATACGCACCGACGGACACACCATATGTATGTGTCTGTGTATGTGTGTGTGTGTGCGTGTGTGTGGAGGTGGCTGGTTGAGTGAGATGCCCTCTCTGCCCGACAGACACATGGATACGTATGTGAGGGTATCTGACTAGGCCAGCTGGCCAGGACAAGGAGGTACATACACACATGTACATGAGGTGTGCGGCGGCACAAGGAGCTGTCGATGGGATCGATGGGCCGAAAGCGCAGTGGTGGTGTCCGCTGGAGGCTGGAAAAACGCGGCCAGCGACGCACAACAGCGGCGGAAAGAGCAGTGCTCCTGCGCAGCACGAGAAAGCTGCGCTTCGTGTCGTGTCAGCAAGCAGTGGGAGGGAGGAGCCCTGGTGCGCACCTGTGTGCCTGAGTGGGGGCGGGCGTGTCGCGGGCCGCTAAGCAAAACCGCCGGATGACAAAGGGAAGCCAGTGAATGAATGGTGGACCAGAAATGTAGGGCCAACAATGTGGAGTTAGTCAGTCACACAGATGCACCGAGTCGACCTTTGTGTGCTCGTGGTGCGCATGTGTGTCTTGGCGGTGGGGTGTGGTGTGCAGCGGGCCGCACCCAACACCGCCAAAGCAGGAGAGGAGCAGCGAGTCTGCGGGTGCAGTCAGGTAAGCCTATACATCCATACAATCAGCACATGGTGAGTGGAGTGAGTAAGTCGAATGAATGAACCGTATCGTGGACCAAAAATACAATAAATACGCACTCAGTCAGTCAGTCAGTAGTGAGTCGATACGGATGCACACGGGCATGGCGTTACGCTCACACCTCTACACGCATCTCACGCATCCACGAACCATGCATGGGTCACGATGGTCACCACATGAGAGTGAATTCGTCTGTCATCCATCCATCCATCCAGACACACCCCCCCCCGATGCCGATGTCGGGCCGCTCCTCAACGAACGCACCCGCCCCAACCAGAGGCCCCTCCCCTCCGACCGCTCCAGCTGACGGTAGTGCAGTGCCCTGGCTCCTCAGTCAGGTGACCTGCCCGGCACGCCACGCATGTCCATGGTGCCCCTGCATGGACAGCGTCGCCCTCACCGGGCTGCTGCTTCTGGAGTGGTAGGGCCACCGATCGTGTGGCGGCGGGCATGGCAAAGTCAGGGTCGGTGACCTGCTCCTGGCGCGACGCACGGTGGACGAGGGGAGTCTGTGCGCCAGGGAGGGGCTCGGTGGTGCTGGGCTTGCCGTTCACGGCACCTGAACGCATTCATAAACACATCGCAGAGACATACAGACAGATGCACCCGTCCATTCATCCAAGATGCAGGTAGGTCTGTCTTTCTGTCTGTCTGTCTGTCTGTCTGTCTGTGCGTGCTGTGTTTCACTTACCAGGGATGGAGTGGTGGCCAAGAAGGGCTGCGGTCCAGCCGAACTCTGAAGGCACGCACTCCCGAAGGAATGACTTGCCGATGAAGGCACGCACTCCCGGAGGAATGACTCGCCCGAGCCAGCCAGACAGACAGCCAATCGCCTCCACCTACACACACAGACAAAGACACACACAAACAGATACACACACAGACAGAGACACACAAGTATGTGCACACGCGAGATGAGCACATCCTTTGCGTGTGGTCATACGTGCGTACCTCCCGAAGCGCCGAAGATGACATGTTGACTCCTTGAGTGTTCGCCGGGCGGGAGGCCGCGAAGAGGGGCCGGAAACCGGTTGAGTCGAGCTGCACGTTGAGGCCGCGGCGGGACTTGCCTGTGGCGACCGCCAGAAGGACACCGCGGCGCCGCAGGGCATCAAGGAAGTTGCGAGACCCGTCGAAGGGCTTAATTAACCTGACGAAAGACAATGCAATGGGGACCCATTGCATTGAGTCGATCGAGACATGTATGTATGTCGTGTGAGTCGATCGGTGTACATACCTGTGTGTCTCGATTTCCCTCCAGTGTGTGCGGTATGCGGCCTTGATCTCTTCGTGCGTCTCTTGGTCATCGTCCGGACAGAGCACCAGGGGCACGTCATCGATCGACAGGCCAATCGTCTCGCGAATCTCCCTCTCCAGACGCCTCTCGTCCATCGGCGGATCAGGGTCATGTCAACGTCATAATCACCAGAACCATCAGCCGCCTGCCGTCTCCTCTTGTTGTCGCGAGCGGTCTTCTTGCCCTCCTTGACGGCCCTCACCCAGCACCGGATGATCGAGGTCACCAAATCGACCACAGTGCCATCCCTGGTGGTGCACAGCACACGCAACAACCATTGCGGTGGCACGTGCATACACCGCTGCACACCTGCCCGGGTCACCTACTTACCAGTCGAAGCAGACGCACCACCGGACGGGCTTGTCGGACACCGCCTCCCTGGAGAGGGAAGGTGGGGCGGCTGCTGGGTGTCTCGCTCGTAGTAGAGCTGGCCTTCCTGTGTGGGCTGCTGTGACCAACGGGTCTGCCGGATGGCCTCGCCCGTCGATCGCCGAGCGACTAAGGCCCACAGGCGGATTGCTGGCATGCGGCCCGGCATCTACAGCGCGGAGACGGCACTCCTGCGGCCTGACACAACCACTCCCACCTGCACACACACACACATGACAGCCATGAGAGCACAACAAGAGATGAGAGATGACCTCCGCCGTGTATGTGTGTGTGTGTAGGTCTCGTACCTTCCTCCTCCCAGGCAAGAAGCGGGGAGTCGTAGATGGATGGATGAGTGAATGGGCGGCGGCTGACTGCAGCCGGCCTGCAGAAGGACAACAGGCAGACAGAGAGACAGACGAGGAGCTCAGAGAGGTCGACCACATGTGTCTGTCACGTGTGCACATGTGTGAGTGTTCGCGTGTGTGTACCTGGATGAACAAACATGCCGGGCGGGCCAGCAAACACACCACACCACACACAGCGGCCTTCCCGCAACCTGAAGCAGCCAACCGACCAAAGACATCCGTGTATTGCATGTGTGTGCGTGTGTGCGCCAAGTGCATGTCCGTACGTACAGCCCTGCCCTGCGTACTTACCGGTCGGTGGAGTGTGCATGGGAGGGGGGGAGGGAAGAAATGCGTATCATTTCCTTTTTGGTATTGCCTTCTTGTGGGCCTCTCTCTTCCCTCTCTCGGCCTTCTTTAGGGGGCCTTTGGCTTTGCTTTCCCTCTCTCTCTTCGTCCCTCCCCTTATCTGTCGGGCAGCCAGCCACCGAGTAAAAACTGACTAGATGACGTCAGAAATGACAGGAAAAATGACTAAAGAATGCAATGACGCACACAGACAGGCCAGACGAACGAAATTGAGAGGGACAGGCAGGCGAAAACGAAACCCATCGGCCATGCGGACACGTGTGTGTGAGTGTGAGGGGCAGAGCCGTCATCAGCCAGGCCATGAAGGGGGAAAGGGACACACATGCACGCAGCCACCACACAAAGGTTTTCGAAGGGCACCACGGCCAGACAGCCGGCCATGGGCCCCTCCTTTTCTTGTCTTTTTCTTTTGCGGCGGCCAGCCGCACGTAGTGAGCATTATGGTACACGAGGCCCCTCACACAACACACCCACGCCAGCCAGACGACACAAAAGAATGGGATGCACACACACCGCTAAGCAGGCCGGGCACCGCTCTCCTTTCCTCCACTTAGTGGTGCCTGCCACTGCCACCGCTGCCGCTCGCCCTCATCCTCACGCACATCGCCCTCGCCCTCCAAGTCGAGCTCGTCGCCATCATCCCCAACGTTATTCACACCTCCGGACCCGTCAGCAACCTCATGCACTCCCCACACACACATGCATTCTCTGTCTCTTAAGTGCGGCGTGCGGTGTGGCCCCCCAGCCCCGTACGACGCGCTACCCACTGCCCTGCGGCCGCAGCTGTCTCGCCGACGTCAGTCCAGAAAGCCCACCACCCATGCGGAGGTCCTGCGTGGCAGCCCGGACCTCCCACATGTTAGGGCCCTCCCCACTTGGCTGCCACATCTCCCAGTCCTCCACCAAAGGGTTCCACTTCCACCCCCCCTCCATGTGGCCGCTGTACTGGACGACCTTGGCATGGTAGGGCACGAAGGGGAGGTTGTGGGCGGGAACCCCATTCACTCGGGGCAGCAAGTGCGGCGCGCCTCTCGCCTTCTGCGCTGCCTTGATATCGCCCAGCAGGACCGCCTTGGTGCGTGGCTGTAGTGGTGCCGCTGGCCTGTCGCCTGCTGCTGGGTGCTGGTGGTGGTGGATCTTGGCTGGGTGCGGATTGTCTGCCGAGCTCTGTTGCTGCTGCGTTGCTGGTGGGTTGGACGTCGCTGGGGCTGCAGGGTGAGGGGGTCGGTGGCCCCGAGTGCTGGCCGCCGGGGCCTCCCTCTCGCGAGGCGCGTTGAACACCTGACCTCTACCTGCAAGGAACATCACACGCAAAAGGGACAGAAGACAAGTTAGTCACTTGTCCGGTCTGTCGTGGTCTCTCTCCCTCTCTCTCTCTCTCTCTCTCTCTATCTCTCGAACGTACGGCGGTCGGGATGGTTGCTAATCACAGCATCAGTCTGCTGTGGGATGGGCGTGTGGTGCACGTCTGGGGCAGCAGGGACAGATGGCTCTCTGGCGTCTGCGGTGCCCTCCTCCCTCTCGTCAGTCTGCTCAAACACAGCCACCTGACCGGCATCTGCACGCAACACACATAGAGCATAAGAGCAGATGTATGCCACTGATTGCACTGACCGACCCCTGGCTACCCTGAGGCATACCCTGGTCAGCATGGCGGCTATTCACAGCACCGGCCTGCGATGGAATGGCGGCCGCTAAAGGTGCTGGCGACGTGTCGGGCGACGCTGGTGGAGCGGGGCAGTGCATCTGGGGCGATGCGGCGGTCGATGGAACGGACGCCGCCGGTCCTGGGCTGCTGCCGGCCACCTTCGCCATTGCGATGTTCACCAGGTCGCCCGCCAAGCTGCGCAGCTCGTTGTCCACGTCAGCCAGGCTGCAGCGCTGGGTGGGCAACGGGCGAGTGGCTGCCTCACTCAGCCTCTCCAGCCGCTGGAGCGCCCCCTCGAGCCATTCCAGCCCCCTCTCCCTCCTGAGCTCCCACAGGCCGGCCTTGGCGTCGATGGGGTGGCCGTGCTCGTTCATGAGCTTCCGCCGACATTGCGGCCACCAGAAGGCGACTCTGGCCTGCTGCACCTCCTTGTGCTGCAGGACGGCCTTCTTGGCCGTCTCAAAGTCAGCCAGCTGCTGCTGGTAGGCGGTCCTAGCCTCCTCGGTGGCGCCGTGTGGCGGTTCGGTGGGCTGCTGCGGGAAGTCGGGCCAGTCCCCGGCATCCTTGGCCAGCTTGGTGGTGTACAGCTGGCTCCGCAGCGTGTTGTGCAGCGTGCAGCCGTAGTTGAAGGCCAGCGTCCGGTCGGTCAGCCAGAGGCCCTGCTTGGCGCCCTTGCCCACCACGTGGTCCTCTGCTCGCAGCGCCGCACGCAGCTGCAGATGCGTTCCAGAAACTCCACCCTCTTCTCCTCCGAAATCCACTGCCCGCCCCAGTCGAGGAGCTGGGGCGGCGACCCCACTCTCAGCCCCTCCATCATGAGCATCAGCTGCTCCGGCGCAGCGTGGAAGCGGGTGTATGTGGGCAGCTGCTTCTCCTCCCTCTGGGCGGCCCTGGTCGTGGGAATGAGGGCGGCGTGGGGGCAGGGAGGGGTCGGGATGGTGCCGTCGGCAGAGTGCATGCAGGCGCCTGGCGGCTTGACGATGGCCGTGTTGCCGAGGTCGATGATGTAGGTGTCCGGCTCCTCCTGGAAGTCCAGGGCGTCCTTGTTGATGAAGACGTTATTCAGGCAGTGGTCGGGGCATACCAGGCCGTCCTCCTCCAGAGCTGCCCGCACCGTGCTCGTCGCCCAGTGCAAGGCGCGCACGAGTGCGATGCAGTCCTGCAGAATGGAGTCGGGGTCGCCTCGCTTCTTGGCCGCTATCCCCGCCATGTGCAGCTCCCACGACCAGATGACGGCATCAAGGCTCACGTACTCCCAGGAGTCGCGGCGAATGGTGGGGTCTGATGACACGACAAGACACAGAAAGAATGAAGCCATTAGTGAGTGCATGGATGGAGTGCGTTTCCCTCCCTCCTGTTCTCACCTTTCAGAGGCTGCATGGCTATGTACAGGCACTCCTGTGGTGGGGCGCCCGATCTCTCGCGATATGCCGCCGGATGCTGGGGGTTGGTGGCGGCGTCATACAGCCTGAGGAATGGCTGCATCGCTTTCCCCTCCCTCTCCCTTCTGGCCTGCACCGTGGCCATCCTCTCCCTCTCGATGTCGAGCTCGGCGCAGAGGGTCCTCCAGACGGCCTTGGTCTTGTCGGTGCGGATGACCATTTTGTATGCGCGGATGTGGCCGTCCACCTCTCCCGCCCTCACGACGCCGCGTGAGCCTTCGCCCAGGAGGTAGGGGAGCTGCACATGTTTGCCCTCAAGCGTCGTGAGGATGGGATGGTCGGGCTGCTGCTGCATCATCGCGCCTCGAAGGTTCTCTCTTATGCAAAAATGACGAGGGGAGCCGGGGGACTGCCGCGCTCCGCTTCTCGCCGACGGGTCTTGCTGTGCTGCTGTTGCTGCTACTGTTGTTGCTGTGCTGGTGGCTGTTCACTGACAGCTGTGTGCTCACGTCAGTGCTGTGCTGCTGAAACGTGAGGCGGGGGGAAAGAAGCGCAATCGCGTTTACAAGCTCGCAGTTTGCGGAGGCCTTTGGTGATTTTCCCCGTCATTCTCCATTGTTTCGTGGATTCGCTGACAACAATGAGTTGAGTCCGTTCATTTGCAAGTGCATAGCGAGTGGGCGGCATAGCAGACACGTCTGAGTGAGCGGGCAGGAGCGGGCGCCGTCATCATGCATCCGTTTCCGAGCGCAAATAGCGACGGGCCGACCCGCCCGCCGAGCGCTATGAATGCATCGGTACGAAATGGCCACGATACCTCACCAGAGCGTCAGATCTGCCATTCATGCCTCTTTTCTCGTGTTTCTTCCCTGCAGCAAATTCAATCAAGCACACCCCAGCCATACGTACCTCCCGCACAACAGGCTATGAACCTCCCGCAACATCCCACCACGACGCAGAACCAAATCACACAGGTACCGACCACAAAGGCGGGAGCGAGGTGGACGGATGGATGGGAGGGTGAGATGTCGCCTCCGTGTTGCTCTTCTTCATGTCTCTCCTCAGGGTGTGGCCGGCTCGTACCCGCAGCCGTACCAGCACCAGCAGCAGTACCAGCAGCAGCCGCTCGGCGGCCCTGCTGGTTGTCAGCCGACAGACTCGGAATTCCAGCAGGTATCTGACTCGTCCGCCCACTCTCACACACCAACAAACACCAAGTGCGTCGAATGTGTGTCGTGTGTGTGTGTGTGTGTTGGTCAGGATGAGGACACTGCCACGGTGATCGCTCGCGATGTTGGTCAAATGAGGCAGGACGACACTGCTCGAGTCATAGCAATTTTGGCGGTCGCCCCGCACAAAGGCAGCGGGTCAGCAACACACACTTGGGCGGCTGGACGGCTTTTTGCACGCGTGTGGTCATTTGTTGTGCAGGAGCGAGCAGCCTGCAAAGAGCACGACGCCATTCCAGCTAGAAGCATTCGACCGCCAAACCCTCGGGCAGCTCGGCGTACGTATGATGCCCGCCCAACACGTGTGTATGCCATCCATCCATCCATCAGATTGAGCCCCCTATGAAGATCGGAGACATCACCGGCTCCCTCCGTGAGCTGGTCACATATCACTACGGTGAGTCCATCTAGCCATGCAAGAGAGAGGGAGAGAAAGAGAGAGACCAACAGCCATCCATTCACTCTTTCCCTCTCTGCAGACGATGTGAGTGGTGGAGATTTCCAGCAGCTGCATCAGACCGAGAAGGCACATGTCCAGGGGGTGATCGCACTGCAGTGTACGTTGATCGACCAACCTTCTGCACACACACATCCACACAAGTGTCTCTTGTGTGCAGTGGTGAAGGGGGTCCTGTGCCACAGCCGCTGCCGCATCGAGGAGGACATAGACATCGATTTGCTGAGCCACAAGGTCAGCCATGCACCTCTTCTATGGATTTCCCTCTGATCCATTGTCTATGTGTTCTGTATGTGCAGACCGTTTTGGAGTTGAGTGAGGACTTCGTGGCAGCGTCAACCCCACCACCTCAGTCGAGCGGCAGCTTGAAATTGCCCGGGCCATCTACACCGTCCTGCACACCACCCCCGCTGGTGAGTGAGACGCTGTGCTCTGCTGCTCTATTGCCTGCATTGCTCTTCTCTCTTTCAGGTACTTCTTCTGCTCGGCCATCTGTGCCAGGCGGCCCAGGTCCTCCAGGTCCTCCCCCTTCCATCATGCGAGCTGCTGGGACGACTGGCGATGGAGGAGAGGGGACGGCGGCCGTGACGACTTCGTCCCAGGGCGGCACCGGGGCTGAAGAAGGAGCGGGTGGTGGTGGGGGTGTCGGTTCTGGCGCTGGGGTTGGCGGTGGCGATGGGGTAGATGTGGATGGTGCAGCAGGTGCTCTCGTCGGCCTGACGGTAGAACAGCAGGTGGGGCACATTGCAGCAAGAGGAGACAGCCGACAGACACACAGTGCATTGTGCGTGTTGTCTGTGTGTGTGTGTGTGTGCGTGTGTGTGTGTGCGTGTGTGTGTGGCAGTTTGTTGGCGAGGGGAGGGCGCCGCTCCAGAGCGACCCGATGGCGCCGCCGGAGAGCGACCCGGTCATGGATCTCGTGGACAACGAACAAGCCCTTACCGCGTTGGCATCGGTCCTCGTCGCCTCTACAAAGAAGGAGAAAGAGGATGGGTCAGCAACACACACTCATAGGTGGCTGGGTGGCTGGGTGGCCTTTAGGAAGCGTGTGGTCGGTCATTGTGAGTGCAGGAGACAGCAGCAGCCAGCCCCCAGCACCGCCAAGACTCGACCCAAGAGGAAACACCTAAATACCAACCAACAGGTAGAGAGGGACAGGGAAAGGAAAGGCTCGATGGACTCTTATGTCTGTGTGTGTGTGTGTTTGCGCCGTATGTCTATGTAGCCTAGCTGTGAGTTGCACATCGATGAAACGACCCGGGACACCCTCAACGCCCTCGGCGTACGTATGAAACGATGCCCTGCAGACATCCATCCATCCACCCGTCAATCCTTCTGTGCGTGGTGTGTCCATCCCTCCATCAGATTGAGGTCTCGTCCATCCGTACCAGTGAGGGCATCAATGATGCGGTGGTCACCCTTCTCAACAAAGTGCATGGTGAGTCGATAGGCGGAGGCATGCACAGAGAGGGAAAGAGAGAGAGAGAGAGAGACCACCAGCCCCCCACCAACACGCCATACGTCATGTGTCTGTCTGCAGGCAAGGACAGCACGCAGCTGAGCGCGGGAGAGATGACGAATCGCAAGAGACGCACCGCTACCAAACGTACGTGGGTCGACCAACACCAATGCACACACACATGCACACCCCCGTGTCTGTTGTAGTCTGCAGTGATCCAGGCCATACTCATGCGCTATGGATGCCCCGGTGTGGATGAGCAACGGATTGACATCGACGGGTGGCGGAACATGGTGAGCATTCCATGCAGACCAAGAGCATCGTGATGGAATAGCCTCCTGCCTGGGTTGTGTATGTCGTGTGTGCAGGAGGTGCGTGAGGTGCGCTACGCCCTTGAACGCATCGGGGTGGTCGGCAAGAAGGTCGAGGTGTTGCATGAGATAGCAAAGACCATCCACAAAGCGCTCGATATCGCTCTGGCTGGTGAGTGAGACGCCATGGCTACCACCCGCAATTGATGCCTGCCTTATCGTCCTTGCCTGTCTCTCTATCACGCTCGTCAGCTGGCCCCTCCCCCGGTGGCCCCCCTGCCTCTTCGGGCGCGACCAGCAGCGCCGCGGGCCCCGGCGGTGGTGCTGCTGCAGCTGCTGCTGCTGCTGAGTCATCGACACAGTAGCACTGACTCCATCTGCCTCCTACTCTGTCTCTATCAAAAGACCGGTCTAGAGCTGACATCCATCCATCCATCCATCTCCGTGTCGACCTATGCGTGGGTCATACAGTACTCCCTCACTTGTGGTGCTTACTTGGGTGTCTGCATACATTCATCCAATGTGTGTGTGTGTGTGCAGTGAGTGGGTGGGTATGGAACATGCTCTATCGAAGCGATGTTCTGGACCAGCCTCTCTCTCTTCTCTCTCCTCGCTCCCCTCGGTTGTCAGTGTCTTGGGCAGATGGGAGGGTGGATGATGCGCGCGTCTCTCGGCACGCAGTATCCCGTACCCTGTTCAGCCGTCGTGGTGCCTACTTTGTGGGGCCATAGATAGACACCTCTTCGCGCTGTCTATGCTATTTTCTTCCCCACCAGCAGCGAGAGAGACAGAGAGAGAGCCCGGTGCACACAAGACACACACTTCCTTCCCGAGTGACCCGCCATAAGTGCTTCTCGACATATCGATAGTAGGCAATCTGGTTCAGGTTTGAACCTATTGCCTGCATCGGTGTCGGTGGGCGCCACTCAAGCCGCGTATCTACCTCACTCGGATCTCGCTTTTCAGCACATGTGTGGTCGGAAGGATACACACATGAATCGACTGGTCTCGCCGTTTCTGGCTATCGTCGCCTACGTTTTATATCTGTTGGTTCCGTTTATCCATTTCTCTCGCCTTTTGCGCGGTGGGTGTGTGTGGGGGGGAAGGGGGGCGGGGGGCCACGGAGAGACGCATACGTGCTAATCAACCACTCCCCCATGACTTTATCGGAGTTTATCCATCATTCATTAGAGATGCACGCAGCAAGTTGTGGGAGGGACAGACACTCACTGACCCGTCTCAATTATCGATTGCTGTACTTGAAAACACTTCTGTCTTGCACCATTCGTGTGACCACACACAGATTCAGCTCGCCCCTGCATTCAGGACACGGCGTTGCTGAATGTGTGTGCGTGCGGAGGGAAGCACCGCAGCTCAGTGGAGACACTCACTTACTCTTCTTTCGCATGAATGGCGTGGCATGGACGGATGGAACGATGACCATGAACACTCGCTTTGAAAGGACACATGGCATGGCATTGCATCCATCCATCCATCGAGCAGAGTGGTCACTTGCAATCAGCACCCGCTTTGCAAGGCGTGTGTTGGTTGCAAGTGACCACTCTGCTCGATGGATGGATGGACGGACGGACACATGGACGGATGGATGAATAATTGACTTGATACATACATATTCACCTTCAAGGTGTCTGTCCGTCTATCCCACACGTCACGTGTCCGTCCCCTCCCGCCCACATGCCATCCATGCGTCTCTATCAACACAGCACGGCGTGTACATGAGCGCACCGCACCCACCCGTGGCTGGCATGAATGAATCAAACGTCAGCACCCTTGATATGCGCCCACCCTGGCGGCACACACACAGACACAGAGGGCAAGAACAACTCGATACGAAATTGGAAGCCACTTAAGGGTGGTTGATTGCGGCGTACTGTCATGTGTGGGACACTCTGTTGAGTAGCTGCCGTCATCCAGACCGTCACCGTCGCTGCCGTCTACGCCACACGCGCACACACAGAAGGCATGTCGTGGATGCATACGTGTGAAGGTGTCTGCCCGTACCATCGTAATCGCTGTTGTCGTCCTGCTGGTCTTCTGCCTGTCCGTCGAACACGACACACACTCACAGACATTGACCGATCCATCACACACACATCACAACGGGTACGTGTGGCTTTGTGTGCGTACCCATATGTGGCCCTCTATCTGTCTCTGGTGGGTCTTGCGTGTGATGTACACTGCCGTGGCGGCCAACAGGCGGACATCGCACACGGCCAGGTCGACGTCGCACATCGACAGAACTGCACACACAGAGGCACAGACAGACAGGAAAGGCCATTCGGCAGCTGGAGATGTCTGTGTGTGATTGACTGACCATGAGCTTCTTGGCGAATGAGAACAGGTGTCCGTGTGTGTCCATCATGGCAGGGGCGAAGAGCCCCTCCAGACGCTTGATGCCGCATGCAGAACTATCAACCACCGCACGGTCCATCACCTGAGCACCCACATAGCCAGAGAGAAAGACAGACAGAAAGATATGTCGGTGTCCCTCTCGTGTGAGTTGGAGGGCCTGGTCACCGGTTTGGACAGTTTATCAGGCACTCCAATAGAGTAACATTTCAGCTGCGGCTCGTGCAGCTTCACACAGGCATCCAAACACGCAGCTGGTACCTGCGCACGTAAGAGCACACACAGACAAATGATGGACACACGCATAAACGAGCTGGCCTCTCATGACGAGTCGATGAGTTTGTGGGCGGAGCAGATGTCGAGCAGCCGCACCGCCCGCATGGTGGTCGTGTCACGCAGGCAGTCCACCCGTGAGGCCATCTCCACTATGCGATTCACCAGCAAAGCTGCACGAAGGAAGGAATGGCAGACATACAGCTCATATACGCTGCGCGTCATGTATTGTTTTGTCTTGGCGGTGCAGAACCTCGGACGCAGCGGAACCGGTGAGGCCTCTGCGACGGCCAAACATAGGGCACCACCTGATCCTTCCACCACATGATCCTGGCTGCGCCGTGATCAGCTGCTCAGCGATGAATCAATGCCATCAGACGGTGTTTCTTTCGCCAATTTTCATCCAGAACCCTCACCCCTATGAACACTGAGGCCATTTGGTGGAAGAACAAGACCAGCCCTGCATGGCGATCGGCTGCCATTCTCATTTCCAAGCTCGCAAATTCCTCGGCGCATTGATCTGAGTGATTCTGGCCTGACTGTGAGGTTCTGAGGCGTCATGGAGAAGCGCCATTGCGAAGTGTAAGCCTGGCGGCGCACGACGGTCAAAGCGAACCACTTCACGCGCTTGTCTGTCTTGCTTCCTCCAGGTGCCATAAGGAGCCTTTCCGCTACACGTGTCCGCGATGCAGCATCGTCTACTGCAGCCTCGCATGCTACAAAGTACTTCGGCAAACACGCACAGCGCTCCTTCGGTGTGTGTCTGATCACTGGTTGCGTTGAGTTGGTCGTTCAGGTGCACGGCTCCGAGTGCACGGATAGGTTCTACCAGAGTCAGGTGGAGGATCAGCTGAAGGGCCAGCGGGTGACGCCCGAGGAGCGCAGGCGGTTCGAGAAAGTGCTGTGGAAGCTGCACCGGCTCGACATGGAGGATGGGGATCAAGATGAGCACGCCGAGGGGGAGGGGGAGGAGGCAGCACCAGACGACGCCGAAGGGGAGGTGGATATCGCAGGGGGGGAGGAGGCCTTCAACGAAGCTGACGAGCGATACGAGGAGCTCAGGGAGAAGGCTGAACGTACGCAAGCAGCACAAAGCAGACTGGACCGATGGACGGATGGACCTGCTTGAGGCGTCTGATCTTTATCTGTGGCCGCTTGTTGTGTGCTATTGTGTGCTGTGGTGTGGCAGGTGGCGAGCTGAGTTTGGCTGACCTGACCCCCGAGGAGCAGCAGCAGTTTCGCTCGGCGCTGAAGCGGGGCGACCTCCACCAATTCATCGACCCGTATGCGCCATGGTGGAACCAGGTGAATGATTGGCTGGCCAACCCGCGAACGCCACAGCATATTCCCAAGGCTGACTGGCTGGCTGTGTGGATGTGATGCGATCAGTGTGTGTTGGATGAAAGCGGTCCCGTGCCGCCCCATGTGTGCTGCGGTGCCAACCGGAAGGCCAGCGACCTCGTGGCGCACACGCTCATATCCATCCTGTACGTAAACCGCTGCCACAGACAGACAGACAGGGAGGGAGGGAGGGAGGGAGCGTGGGTGCATTAGTCAGCTTGCTATCTATCTGGCTGCCTCCATCCATCCATCCATCCATCTCTCAGGTATGGATACGCCCACGTGATGCGCCGGTGTGAGGGGCAGTGGGCCGAGAGCCCGACTGCATGGGCGGCACAGCTGCTCGCAATGGCCCTGGTGAGCTACACAACACAGTATCGTGTATCGAAGTACGTTTGTCGTGTGTGGCCGTGTGTATGTGTGTATGTGTGTGTGTGCAGTGGCTGAGCTCCTCCGAGCAGCCGCCCGCCAGCCTCGTTGCTTGCCTCGACCGCCTCATCCAGACACCAACGGAGGCGCCAGTCCGTGTGGTGGATCGTCAGTTCAACCTCAACTGCATGGCCGACGTGGCTTCTTTATTGGCGACAAGGGACAGGGCAGGCAGAGCCATCAGGGTAGGCACAAGGAGGCACAAGGAGGCGCAATGGCTGAGTTTCATCGGCTGGGTGTTTCGGCGGTTTGGCTGTCTGTGTAGGAGTGTGCCGAGCTGATTGAGAGCCTCACACCGAAGGGCACCAAATCAAGTGAGTCTTTGGGGGAGGGGAAGCATTGGCAGTTCGTCCGTTCCATGAGCACATGCCCCTCACCTGTATGTCTATCCCCTGCAGAGCGGTGGTTGTTCGGCGTTTCCAAGAAGCTTGACTTCGTGGCATCCTTTGCACACCACCACTTCAACGTCGTCGAGAAACTTGTTCCCAAGGTCAATAGGCAAGGCAGACACACAAAGCAAAGCAGTGACGGACGATCATTTCTCCAATGTTGTCTGCTCCGCTCCGCTCCTTCCTGCAGCTTGATGTCTGGTGCCAGGACCGGCAGCAGAGACTTGACAGTGAGCGTCAGGCGGCGGAGGCCATCCCGCTGACCACACACACACTCACTGCCACACCTCCTCCGTCATCTCTCACCCCCTCCACGCCACTCATCAAGGGCCTCCCGGCCGAACCAGATCGGCTCAGCCACATCAAGTCGCCGGCCACGTTGACGGGCGAAGCTGAGAAGGGTGCTGCCGTCAGTGTGAGGGGCATGCTGCGTTCGAAGGGACAGGACACGACTACTGAAGGAGAGAGGGGGAGGCGGGGAGTGCTGATAGAGGAGGTGGGTGAAGGGGCAGGGGGCGGGGAGGAGCCGCCGGCTGATCTCGAGACGCTGGACTGATGGATGGATGGACGGATGGACGGGTGGATATGTTGTGCTTGTATGGGTGACTGGCACGTGCTCTCTGTGTGGATAGCGGTCGGAATCATCTGTGTGCTCTTTTCACCGCAGTGCGGACCCCATCGCAGCGAACGTAAACACAACGCGAGCAACAGCTCCCCCAGCTTTTCAAAAGTAGCGATGCAGAACATTGTCCCTTTTCCCCCGCGCATTCCTGGCAGCATGGTGAGTGACACTCACGCGCCAGCCAGCGTGGATCACCCACTCCATCCTCCTTTGTCTGCGTTTCTGTCTTGTCCATCAGCTGGAGGACAGTGATGGTTGCAAGGTGACGATATTGGGCGAGATCGTGACGACTGCCGGCAACAACGTGACGGTCAGGATGAGTGACGGCACGAGCGTCGTGTGCGGCATCCTGGCGGACGAGCTGCCGCAGGGGAGCAAGTTCATCGAGTTCGAGGGCCAGGTCAAGAAGGAGGGGCAGACCATCAAGGTCATCAAGGATAGCGGCGCCAAGGTGCGGCCGCTGCACGACGTCGACATGGCCTTCATGAACAGGGCCATCAACCTCACCTACAACGCGACTCTGACGCACCTCTACAGCCTACCGCAGCAGCAGTAGAGACCATAGACGATAGACGGAGGGAGGGAGGGAGGGAGGGCGGAGCGTAGTACGTGCGCGGCATACAACAATATGGATGGGTATGTAGTGAGAGTGTTTTCCTCGGTGCTTTCGCGCGGTTGATTTAGGTGGAGGCGTAGATGAGGCCCTTTGTTGTGAATAGTGAATGTCCGGGGGCACACATGTGGTTGGCTGCCTGATCACACGACATGACATGGGTACCATGCACGCCCGTAGCTGCTCCGTGTTGGCTTCAACCATCATGACTCTCCGTGCGTGACGTGACGGACGGACGGACCGACGAATGGATAATGGATAACGGATGTGTGTTGCTCGTGGCCGTGTCCATCCTGTGTCCTCACACACACAGCAAACACACTCGACACACACGCGCAATTGTCTTACAGTCAGCCAGTCAGCCAGTCAGTAACCAGGCAATTTGCACACATACACGGACATACACCGTCCGCACTCACACAGCGATTGATTACCTGCGTATCGAACACACACGCACATAAAATGAATGCATTCACCATCGGAAAAACCCCTGCCTACAAGTGCGTGTGGTCTGCATGTTATGTACGGCGTGGCAGGCCTGTGCTGTCTGTCTGTTAGTGTACACGTCCTTCACACACTCCCTGCCACTGCAGTTGATGAATGAATGCAATGCGGCTGAGCAAAAAAGGCTCACACGGCCCTTCCCAGAAACAAGCTGCCTCCAATCAATCCATGTGTGTGGCCTGGTCGGTCGGTCGGTCGGTCGGTCGGCCACACATTATTTATGGTGTGTACGCGTACGCAATGCCCACCTGCCTCCCCTTCCGTCCCCCCGCACTGCGCTTCCTCCTTCCTCTCTCCTCACCACCAGCCTCGCCGCCTTCATAGACCACTTCCGCCATCTGCCCCTCTTCGCCGGACAGAGTGTATTGGGCTGTCATGAGAGGCGCGCTGACCGGGGGATAGACGTGGTTGTTGCTGTTGCTGTTGTTGTTGTTGTTTGCCGGCCTGCGGGGGCTGCATGGGCTGCTGGAACTGCCTGCAGAGGCGAGCAGAGTGGGGTAGGGGGCCGCCGGAGCCGGCTGTCTGCCTTGGCGGTCGAATGTGTCGGCCAGGGGGGAGGGGAACGGTGACGGTCTGCTCTCTCTGGCGTCCTTTGGTCTTGTTGAGGCCCCATCGTTGCCGAAATGCGGCCGGGTTGCCCAGTCGGAGAAATAGTAGGGGTCGATATCCACAGCAAAGGCCTCCAGCGGCCCTCCACCACCGTCGTTTCGCTCCGATTCCCCCTCCTTCCGCGCGATAAACACCTTGACGGACACCAGCCCGTCATCCCCCGCCTCTCGCCTGTCAACGGGCATCGAGTCCCCCCTCCTCGGCGCGCTGCTCATCCACTCCGTGTCACCCCGCCCCTCAGTCGCACTCCGTGCCCTCGGCACAAGCAGCTCATCACCACTCAAATCACCATCGAGAATCCCAATGCGGGTCTTCCGGCGAGGCAGGATGCACCGGAAGAGGGGCGGGGAGCGGAGCGTCGAGCGACGTTCGTGTCGTGCGCTGGCGGCGCCCGGCAGGGGAGGGAGTGGGGGGGACGGCGGGGCCTCGCTCTGGGTCTCCAGCTCCCAGTCGAAGGAGGCGATCGTCACCTCGTCGGGCGGCACCGTGGCGTAGTGGGATGGCAGCCGATGGGGCGCACGGAAGCTGGGGTGGCGCGCCATGAGGTTGCGGAGACGCTGGATGGATGGATGGATGGATGGATAGACGCACAGGACACAAACGAGGTATGAGCTGGTGGTTTCTTGGTGTGTGTGTGTGTGGGTGAGGGTGTCGCGTATGCGTGCCTGTTGGGATAGAGCGAAGGTGAATCGGTATTTGGTGACGATCTGGACCACATAGTTGAGGAGCGCCTGACGCACATCCGCCTCGCGCTTCGGAGAGGGCGCCACCTGAGCAGGCACGACCAAAGAACGGATGAAATGCGGATCTTCCTCCAAACAAACACCTGACCTTGATGGTCCGGCATCGTTGAGTGAGAGCGAACAGGCGGTCGAACACTCCCTGAATGGCGTCGTTCATCTCTGGCAGAGTCGACCGAAACTCCCATGGAAACACCTGGCACACACACAGAGACAGCGACAGCAGACATGTTCTCTCTCAGTCTTTGCTGGCTGGCTTGTTGTGTGCCCCACATGCTCACACACTTGCTGTGACTTGAGCGACGACACAAATCGCGTGAGGCCATCGAATTGCGCCACAAGCGTGCCCAGGTGTGTGTGCTGCTCGGTGGCTTCTCTGAAGATGGCCACCAGCTGCTGCACAGACGGCTCGTAGTAGCTAAGCGGGTCAGCCGCCAGGCGACACTGCCACTCCTGCATGCCATGCATCCATCAACCACACCATTGATGTTGATGGGATGGACAGACAGACAGACAGACTTGCATCTCGGTAGGTCTTGTTGTCCTACTTACCTCCACATATGTGTAGCAGGATGGGCAGCACCTGGCCACTCGTGACTCGCCTGAAATCAATGAGACCAGCAGCACCAGCCACATGAGATGAGGGATGGGAGGACTGGACAACCCCTGTCTGCCTTACCTTACCTGTGGCAACGTCCTGCGGTCTCCGTCGTGTCAGCCGTGGCGATGGCGGGGTGGTGCGGTCGGGGAGTCGGGGTGAGGACGGCTGGGAGGGCGGCTGCTGGGACGGGCGGAGGAGCGACACTTGATGGATACGACAGTCCTATGGATGGATGGATAGACAAATCAACCAATAAAGGATGGGACGTACGAATCGGACGGTTGGAGGACCGTCATGCGCGCACCTTGCAAACTGGTTCGTGGCATATCTCACTGTGAGTGACCATCACACACACGGAGGAAGGGAAGCACACTCATCTGAGGAGCCATCCACATCTGTCTGTCGTTCCCCTCACTCACCAGAACTGCTTGACCACTTGTGTGACGGCTGCCTTGCCCAGCTTGCCAATCTGCATCAGCCCCGGCGACTTGACGAATGGCCGATGACAGAACCGACAGGTGGTGGCGTCACCAGCCGCATCAGCCGTGCCGTCCTCATTCGCTGATGCGGGCGGGGAGAGGGCGCCCTGGTGGGGCCGAGGAGGGGAAGACAGGAAGATGCGCAGCAGGTCCGCATCTGCATGCACAAACACACACACAAAAGGACCACAACGGACATACTCGTGAATGAGTGTTTCGCGATGTGCTCTCGTCTTCAGCTCACCGTTCTTCTCGATGATCTCTCTGGCGATTTGGAGCCTCTTGGAGAGCGGAACACGCTGGGTCTGTCGTGCTTGGCGAAAGAGCCCACTTCTGTCCCTGGTGACGCCCAGGACTGCTGTAGAGGGCGGGACGGTGACACTGAGGGGAACAGGAGCGCCCTCCTTCGGTCCTCGCATCATCCCATGAATCAGTGACGCCGCATTCGACGGTTGCCTTGACCCTCTCCTCTGACTTTTCTGGCGAGGCAGCTGCAGGAGGGTCAGGTCGAACAGCTGCGAGAGCAGAGCAGCCATGAAATCCCCTTCTCCCTTCTCCTCCCCCACCTTGCGAGCTAAGCTTGCGAGCTTCCCGAATTTGAACTCATCCTGCGGCCTTGCATCTGGCCTTGTGGACGCCATCACGTCGGTGCAGTACACGGCTGCACACCAAAAGGAGAAGAACACCGCCTGGATCTTCCTCTCTCGTGCCTGCCTCTGTGCCTTCAGGTTCCGGCGAGGGCAGGGCCTCATGGGCAACACGTTTGCCCCGCCGGACGATTCAGCCAGGATAGGCCTGTTTGCGGTGGTGTTCGGCCCCACCAAGTGCGTCTACATCGATGACCATCCCTGCAACGAAAGCGCCGAGTTCACCTCCACCATGATGGACCGACACGCGGCAGCGGCATGCACCACCAGGAGGATTTGACAGCAATGGTGGTGGTTGGCGATTGCCTGGTGCTGCAGCGGACGGCGTCCCTGCCGATGTCTGGGTCGGGCTGGTCGTGGGCGGCTTCCCTCGAGGGCCGCGGGGCGGTGGTCGTAGGCAGGGAAGGCGACATCTTGATGCTCAGCACCGCCGACGGAGAGGTAAGCAAGTACACACACGCACGAAGCGAAGCGAAGCGCAGAGAGGGACATGCATCTGTCCCATGGTTGTTATGATGATTCAGATGGTGCGACAGACAGATGAGACCACCGTGGCTGTGCTGTGGGAGGGTCGCCTTCTTCGATGGCCTCACTCAGCGAGGGCGGTCTGGGACCAAGGACGCCAACACGGCCGTCACAGACGTCTTCCCGACCCGAATCCGACTGCCGCACAAGGATAGGGAGGGAGAGAGAGAGAGAGAGAGAGGCACGACACGAGAGAATACAGTTGGGCTGGGTGGGCGCCTTTGTTGGCGTGTTCCCTCTTGTGTGCAGGAGGCAACGTGATAGTGCTAGGGAGCGATCTCCAGGTGGCGACGACGTTGAGGTGCGGCGCGGTGCTCCCGTCCTCCCCCCGCAGACGGCGAGATACTCCGCCGCCCATCACCGAGGCTATAGTCGGTGATGTCTGGCGTCGACGCGTCCCTTCCCCCTCATTATCCCCACCCAATCGGCACAAACGGCCTTGGCGTGCGGGCCCCTGTCGGAAGCGACATGCGTGGCGGGCGGATGGTGGTCAGCTGCGGTGGGGGAGGCATTGGCCGTGCTCACAGTCGATGCATGGGCGGTGCGGTACATCAATAGCCAGCCAGAGGGACGAACGTTCACGATGGATGGATGAGTGGTGGAGGGGGTTCATGATGGCGGTCCGTTACTCGACGCACGCTGCCTATTTGGCTGGCTGGCGGGTTGGCTGAACATATGGATGACCGGATGACCAATCGGATCGGACACACTTCCGTACACAGCGGTGGTCGATGGAAGCGCACCTTAAATGTCAGTATGCATGTGTACGTGCGTCGGGCTGCCTACGCGCGACTCAGTCAGTCGTGCATTTGTCTCGTGAAAACGACAGAAAGATGAGCAAGTGGATCTGATCTGACGGGCATCGATAGGCTCAAAGAGGGAGGGAGGGAGACACGCATCAGAAACCACCTCTGGAATCACCTCACCTCATGGAACAGACCAGGGGCATCTCGTGACATGTATGTATGTGTGTGTGCACGACTGACGCCATTATGAGCAGGTGTGTATCCTATCCTATCTCCCTGTCTCCCATCGAGTCGAGTCGAGTCGCACATCTACACGGTCCACACATCTAGACAGACAGACCACACAAAAATACCGCTTGCCGATGCTTGATGTGACAGTCCAGACGAGAAACCTTCTGTTGTAGGTAGTGTCAGGCAGGGAAAATCAGCTGCAGAAGCGGCTGGCTGCCTTCACCCCTCTCTCACGCATGCAGACACAAACAGGAAAAATTTGACTGACTGCACAGGACAGCCTGCTCGACAAATCAACCACCGAGCTGTCCCATGTCTACCAGAAAAATATGAAGGTCAGACAGATGCGTCTTACGGATCCAAAAGATGACATCCGTCAGTCAGTGCTGACTCTCTCCAGCCCAGCTGTTCCTGCAACCCGGCCACACAGATAGATGACACCAGGGTGGCGGTCGACTGGTGCGTGCGTGCGTGCGGCTGGCTGGCTACCCACTTGGTCGATGTGTCCTAGTGGTTCTTCCCAAAGCGGGGCTTGTGTGGGTGGTCGGGATGCGCCTTGCCTTTGCCGGGCCGCTTCTTGCGCCGCCCGCTCGGTACCTTGATGTGATATGCAGCGAGCACACCGGGAGATGGATGGGCTGTCGTGTGGCGCTCCCCCATCCATGACATTAGCTTACCTCCGTGAGCACCCATTTGTAGCTATCGCCATCACAGGCAGAGCCCTGGACGACAGGTGCCAGGTTCGTCTGGTTGGCGTTCTCCACAGCAGAGGCATTGACCTAGGCGGGGTGGGAGGAGGCAGACAGACAGAACCAGACAGACAAAGGCTCGGATGTACATATTTCTCCGCCGTGCAGTTGGCCACCCACCGCTCTGAAAGGCCCTGATGATGTATTCCCGAGGGGTGGCTCCCAGAGGGGTGGCCCGTTCGAACTGCCACTCGAAGTTGACACCTTCTTCGCACGCCTTGTCCTGCACGACGCTCGCGCCGTCGATAATGGAGCCCTCGATGACGGACAGACAGCAGGTCGGTGTTGTCTGGACTGCGGTCACGTCGCAGGGCTTGGACAGCTGATAGAAGCCGCTGTCCAGCTCCTCCACCAGCCACGTCTGATCCAGTCCTGAGCAGCCAGGATTCTGGCGAGCCGGCGCCTTGTCCACTCCTCTGCACGGAGTCATGCAGCGATCCAAACAAGGACACAGACTCACTCATCCACGCACACGTGCACTCGCTTCTTGCGTACGCAGCAACTTGCAGGCACTGGCCGCTGTGAACCGCCTCGAGCGTGTAGCTGCCGTCATCGATGTCCGCCACATTGCTGCCGTTGCAGTCGGCGAAGTCACATGTGTCCTGACAGGTCGTGTTGAGCCCACAGCCGAGGCAGCACTCCTGATAAAGTACCAAACAGCAATCACGCACACACAGACTTCATCTGAGACAGACAACAGGCGTGGGAGAAGCCCACCAAAACTCACCCCGGCGGCCGTGGCCAAGACGGCAAGAAGGGACACCACAACCAACAGCACCTTCATCATGACGTTTTCAATAAGGGCAGAGGCAACAAACAGCGAGAGAATGAGACTCGCCAGCAGGAAGGGAGATCTCACGTGCCGTTGGGGAGATCTTGGATCTCACCAAACGGCACGTACCGTTGTCGTCTGCGGTTGGTCGTGGCGGTTGGCGGTTGGCGGTTGGAGAATTATTATTGTTTCTGTCGATGTGGTCTAGCTGCAGCCGTCGCTTTCCTCTTCCTCATCTTGAAGGAACCATCGCAGGACGGCAGAGCAGATGATTGCCGCTATACTCCCAATGTGGTGCTTGAGGTCACTAACTTGTTGAAGAAACCATCTGAAGAGTCAGCTGGCACATATCGGACACGTTGCAGCCGTGTGCGGGTGCGTGAAAATGGTGATCAACGCTTCACTTGGACGCATCAACAGATGCGGGGTCCCTCGTGAGAGCACCAAAGCAGTCAAACCCATTTGACGCATCGACAGATGCGAGAGGCCGGCGGCGAAGTGACCATTTGGGACAGCTGTCCCTGCACACACACACAATCAATGCATGTCTATCTGTTGGCGGAGAGTGTCTGAGAGATCATGCATCTGTACCTCAATGCCTTTGTCTTCGCTGGTGGGGCAGGCGACATCGGCATCAACAGCAGCACTTTCACACAGACCCTGCACTGCACACGGCACCCAACCCACCCACAATCATTGCCCGACGCCGGAATATGCATCCTGCCTGTCCGATGCCTCTTTGTCTGTGTGTGTTCCTTCCTGTCTGCCTGTCTGTCTGTCTGCCTGTGTGTGTTTGTGTCGACCTGCAGGGGCGGTGTGAGCGCGAAACGACGCTTACAAGACCCTCAGAGACCTTTCCGAGTGTCACCCCTGACCCTCCGGTCACGGCTCGTCCCTTGCGGAGGGGCTGTCTTGGGCCGCCTGCGCCACGATCAAGATCACAGACGGAGAGTGTCCACAGTGCATTCAAACACCTCAACAAGGCCTTTCCTACCCCTTTTTTGTCGCCCATTTCGCCGCTGCGATGTCGTCCAAATCGACCTCAGGGCTTGGGGCTTAGGGTTCCGGGTTAGGGTTTGGCCCAACTTGCGAGCTTTCCCAGTTTGAACTCATCGTACGGCCTTGCAGCTGGCCTTGTAGACGCCATCACGTCGGTGCAGTACATGGCTGCACACCAAAAGGAGAAGAACGCCGCCTGCATCTTTCTCCTCTGTGTGTGCCTCTGTGCCTTCAGGTTCCGGTGAGGGCAAGGCGGCCTCATGGGCAACACGTTTGCCCCGCCAGACGATTCAGCCAGGATAGGCCTGTTTGCGGTGGTGTTCGGCCCCACCAAGTGCGTCTACATCGATGACCATGCCTGCAACGAAAGCGCCGAATTCACCTCCACCATGATGGACCGACACGCGCCAGCGGCATGCACCAAGGGATGGCGGCCCGGGTCAATCGGATGGTGCTACGAGAAATGGTGGGACGTGCCCGACAAGGCGAGGCTGTACACTCACTTTGATCCCAAGGCCGTCAAGCGGGCGTGTGCATGGCAAGACAGGTGGACGCTTGAGCGGCGGATTGGTGTTGCTGTGGGGACTGGTATTGCGCTGATAGGCGTGGCTGCCATGTGGGCGAAACCAAAGTGGATCAAACGATGGGTCAAGTTGGTGTGAATGAATGTGACTGTTGACTCTTCGCCAACGATTCTCTTCCCATCACTAGCACTTACTCTTTCGTGTGCTGTCCTGCCCCGTGCGGTGCGCTGTCATGCTATGCTCCCTTTCTATTTTCACACGAACCGCTGAGCGAGACGCGTTGAGGCGCCTTGCTATCGGCGTAATAGTAGCAAACAACGAACACTGCGGCCTTCCACGCATTCTGTCCTGGCAAAGAGAGGCGAGAAACTGTCATGGGCATCCACTCAGGCACAAATAGCGTCTTCTTCACACCACACCAAACCCCGAAAAACCATGCTGACCGCCTGACTGACGAAAAACAGAGAGCTCGGCTCGTCACACTATCATGCATCGAAGTCGAACGAGACTCTTGCCCGGTCGGCCTTCTTGTGCCTGTCCTGACCACCACCACTGCTGACATCCATCCGCTCCTCCCTCCCTCGCTTGCCCTCCTTCCTCCGCCCAATCAGCGCATCCGGCATCACACGAACATTCTGGCCACCAAGGCCAGTGGCAGTGGTGGTAGCAAGGTGCCGTCCTGTTGACAGCGCCGTAGACAGCACATCCGTGTCGCTGTCGTCCAGGTCCATCATAGACGAGGATGGCTGCGCGTCGACCTCCTCCACATCAGCTGCTCCCTCTCGGTCCATGTCGTCATGAGCTCCGTCTCGCTCCAGCACGCACTCCCAGCGGTCCTGGTCCTCTCTGTTCTCCTTTTGCCGACGCTGCCGCAGCTCTGTGAGGAACTCGAGAGCGCTCGAACGCATCTGCTCGGCGTCGTCCGAGTCGACGTCATTCAGCGAGTAGCGGGCCCACGAGGAGAAGGGAGGCGGGCGGGGAGGGGCGAGGGAGTCGGTGGTGTCCGTCATGAGCTCATCAGCAAGACCAGCAGCAGCAGGCGGAGCGGAGGAACGGGTTGAGTGAAGGACGTCGAAGGTCTGGTGAAGGCGCCTCGAGAACCCACGATCTTGTGAGCGAATGAAGTACTGCATTCCCACTGAGTCAGAGCCTCTTCAGGACTCTATTCTCACCACAAGCTCAGATCCGGCGTGAGATCGTTGAGATGTTTTAGCTCGCAGTGGATCTGGAAGGCGACGGCCAAGGCGTCCAGTTCACGACGGAGCAACGCAGCAGAGCATACACGCTGGCCAGATCCCATCCGCAACACCCAATGACGCACGGTGACACGACTGCCTACGTCCACGCGCCCCACCCCGTCACTATGGAAGACACTCAGCAGCGCGGCAAGGTCATGATCCCTTCCCTCTCGCCCCTCCCGCCCTGCGCCTTTCCCCCCTATGGCTCGCCCAGCTGGTCGGCCTCTGTGCTGAAGGAGCAGCCGCCGAGCCCCTCGAAGGAATCCTGTGGGTGCGGGCAGCGCTGCACGGCCATGCCGGGCGGCGACCACTCCGCGGGTCTGCACGGCATGGTGGGCGAGGGGCAGGTCATGCAGATGGACCACTTGCATCACCACGACCCTGCTGGCGGCATGGTGCGGGAGGTCAGCAATGTGTCCACGACGGTGTCGATGGACGAGAACAAACGCCTCAAGGAGATCGAGAGACTCGAACGCAGACAGCTCTTCGCCAAAACCAAACTGTAAGGGCAGTGTCGAGGGACAGATCTGGCCGTGTCTCGTGGTGGGTGGGTGATGACGCTCTCGTATGTGTGCTTACCGTGTGTGGCGCGTGTGCAGCTGCCCGTGGTACCCCACCGGTCGCTGCTGGAAGCTGACCGAGTGCAACTTCGCACACAGGTACGCCAACACATCGACAGACAAAACACTGCAGGCCTGCAGCCGTGTGAATGCTCAATGCTCATTTCTTTGCTGTCATCTGGTGTGTCCATCAATCAGCGAGGAAGAGTTGCGGCCCATCCCTGAGGGCCTGCTTCCGGTGAGTTCTCACACAACGCACACAGCCCAGCCCTGCCCGTCCACCGCTGATTGTCCTGTCTGTCTGTCTGCGTGTCTGTGTGTGATGTGATTGCACTGTTCATCATTCATTCAGTCTATCGACGGTGGGCGCAGCGGCGAGAGCAAGAAGCGCGACGTGGGCTCCGACCGCAAGACCTACAACGGCAGAATGCTCGTGGAACCGTTCACACCGACTAATGACGGTCAGCCACTCAGCCACGGACGCCCACATGGACCCGGGATAAACGGCGAACGTCTGTGTGTGGTGAATCAAATCAGGTCTGTCCCGTTCGCGGAAGCGTCGCACCAAGTCGTTTCACTGCCCGAGTTACTCGCCGGGCGGGTGCCTGCTCCCCTCCTCCCCCCTGTGCACGGCCACCACCACCACACCCTACTACAACACTCGACCCAGATCCCTGACCTACGATGCACAGGTGCACTGCACACCAAGGCAGCGAAGCCGAGCACAAAGAGAGGCACCAATGGCTCTGTGTATGTGTATGTGTGTGTGTGGACTGTCCGTCCGTCAGGCGTCGGAGAGTGCGTCGACGTTTTCTCCTTCGTCGCCCCTGACGACCATCGCAAGCCCCATGCCCGTCTCCCTCCCCCCGTTCGACGAGACCCCACCCACACACAATGCGCGGCCCCGCGCATCGTCATTCGACTACGTCTTCTCCACGGCCCCACCAGGCGTCCACCAACCCACCACACACCAACAGGCTCACCCCCAGTCCACAGCACCACCACACCAGCAGCACCCACAGTCCCCCCTGACCATCTACACGCCCACGGCCATGCGCCCCCGGAGCATGACCGAGTCGGTGGTGTACGTGCCGTCGTCGATGTATGCCACCCACACGGGCCACCACTCGCAGCCGCTGACGGTCATCGACTGCCGCAAAATGTGTGTGGGGGTGGGGGTGCAGACGTCCACTGCCTTACCCAACACCTCGCCGGGGGGGTCGGGGGAGGGGGCGGGGCAGGAGGGAAGACTCAGCCCACTCAGCATACTCACGGGCGACGTCAATGTGTCCGAAAGCGGTAAGTACCGGAAGTGGGTGGCGTGAGTGGGGTCTGTGCTGCTTGCTGGTCTCGTGTGGACGTCGATTCATCCTTCGTGTTGTGTGTGTGGTGTGTGGCGGTTTGTCAGAGCTGGAGGCGGCCCAGCCGGTCGTGTATGAGGAGTGACGGCGGAAGGAAGGGACAGACAGAAGAACGAGCGGGACACATCTACTCTACTGCTTCTCATCACTTTCTCTCTCTACCCCTCGACTATCTATCTGCCTTAACTGACTGATCTATCTATCTATCCTGCTGCTGGAAGTGTTTTCACCCTACCAATACCATACCATTCCATTCTCTCACTGACTCGACTCACACACCGCATCATTCATCCATCCATCCATGCGTGTAGCTACGTACCACACACACACACACACACACGCACAGACGCACACACACATGGGCGCTGGGTGCGATGGGTGGGCTGGCTGGCAGGCAGACCAGCATTACACAGCATCATCACATGCCATGGACAACACGGTCCGTGCGAAACACAGCCGTCATCCACTCATTACACACAAACGTACCGTAGGTGACACAATAATGGTATTTCTCAAGTCTTTTCTGCTCTTCTGCGCTGCGCAGTGGGGGGCCGGACGAACGAACGAACGGGCTTATGGATGGATGGGAGAGGGACAGACACTGCCTGAGGGGGGGGGGGGGGGGG